AACTATCTCTAAGATGATAATATGTAATCTATTAACTGGTGATTTCTTACTGTTTTTTTTTTTTTTTAGTTCTGTATTACTTGTACCCTTACACCGTTTTGTTTTGTTTTTTCTCTTTTTCCTTTTTAATAAAATTATAAAAAAAAAAAAAAAGAGAAAACCCCAAAGCCTTCACACTGAGTTATATGCCCAGCCCTTTAAAAAACTCTTAATTTTTTCCTAAGGTGAGATTTCTCTTAAGTTGCCCAGGTTGGGTTCAAATTTGGGATCTTCCTGCCTCAGGCTCTCAGAGTATTAGGATTATAAGATTGTAACTGTATGCTACTATACCTGGATAGTTCCTTTAGGTTTTTGTTTTGTTTTGTTGCCAGGTTTGATGCATCATAGTTCTGGGCAAAAAAAAAAAAAAAAAGGATGCACATTGTACCAGTGCTGCAGGGTGCAGGAACCCTGAGGTACTAAGGAAGGAACGAGCCAGCAGACAGGACAAACGTCGTCCAGTCCCGTGTGTCTGAAGTCCCCAGAGCCGCCCAGTTCTTAGAGCCCAAAGTCAAAAGGTCTTCATGGGGAGGGGGGTCAGGGGGGCGGGGGCGGCTTTGTTTAGAGGGGTCCGTTTCTGCTCACAAGGAGAGCTCTGCAGCTTGGCTGCATACCAGCGCACGTGCCCTGCATCACCAACTGTCCACGTAAAAAGGAAGTAAGATGGCAAATTTTATGTGTATTTTCCCCAATTTAAAAATGCTAAATGAAATATAGACACTGAAATAGAGACAGCTATGGAGACGTGCATGGGTTTGTCTGTGTGCATATATTCCTTGTTACGTCCATGAGAAAGCTGAAACGGGAGGTCATCCCTGGTAATAACCAGCGCGTATTCTCCCCTGATTTGATTTTAAAATACCCTCTTCAATACCAGGAAGCCCGTCTCCCTAGAGAAACAACTGATTCCAGGGCTGAGGGAAGGAAAATAGAAAAAAGAGCCTGAACATCTGTGGCGCTAGAAAACGAGTGGTTTTTTGGTACGAGGGTTCGAACTCATGACCTCACACACACGCTTCTGCCACTGAGCTGAATCCCCAGCCTAGAAAAACTAATTTTTAATAGCAGGTTTGTTCAGTTACTTAGCGCACAGGTTTGTGGAGGTCTCAGTGCACAGCTGGTTGGCTCCAAAGCAGGGCGGCCTGGCAGAAGGCAGCAAAAGCAACAAGGGACAAATGACAGCACCGACCCTTTTCCTCATATCCTGTCCAGGCCACCAACTCAGAGCGGGTGGCCACTCACACCAGGGGAGCAGCCTGAATCCTGGCATTGCACACCGAGGTCCAGCCCCCTCCGAAAGACCATCTGTGACCACCCGGGGCTTTGGGGACTTCTCGCCACGAGCCACACAACAGGACTGTGTGCTGATAACTCCTGGGGGAACACACATACCCAAGAGCATATATAGGTACAAATGAACACTTCACCAGGAAAAATGAGTAAAGACGGCCTTCCTCACAGCGCTGTGAGCAACAGGTCTCAAGGGGAGAGAGAGGAGTTTACCATGGATAAGTACCGCCACAAAAACTGATTCACATGGCAGTTATGGGTGCGAGCTAGTGTCAGTGGGCACAGATGTGAGGAGAAACCACTTTAAATAGTCTATCTCCTGCAGCATATTTACCAACTAAAAAAGGAACAGCAGTAACACTGTGGTGGAAAACCTGGCAGAAATCACTGGGTGAGAATCAAGTAGTCAAGGTCAACATCGGCAGGACAGCTTGACGCTGGGATTCCTGGGACACAGATTCATTCACGTGATACCTGGTTAAAGATGCACAACCTAGGGCCGGGAATTTAGTTCAGCGGCATAAGCGCCTGCTTAGCAAGCGTGAGGTCGTGAGTTCGATCCTCAGTATTACAAAAAAAAAAAAAACAACCTAGAGCCGGGCGTAGTGTCATACGCCTGTAATCCCAGCACTCAGAAGGCTGAGGCAGCAGGATCGTGATGAGTTCCGGACCAGCCTGGGCTACAAAGTGAGCTCAAGGCCAGCCTGCTTTTTGATCATGGCACTGTGATTACATGAGGCATCAGCTGGGAGAAGGTGATAAAGGGGACTTTGAAACCACTACCTTTGTAACTTTCTATAAATTCAAAATAAATTTTTGAAAACAAGATAGCTGAGTCATTTCATTTCTTTACTCAGAAGCTCCCGGATGCTCCAATGCTCTCCGCAGCCTAAGGCTCAGAGGCTCTGGGTGGTGACCTCCCTCGCTTGGTGCCAGGACCAGTCATCCCCACTGGCCCCCAACACAGACGCCCTTTCCTGCACCCCGAAAGCACATGGCCCCCCAAAGCCCTGTGCTGCGGGATGGTGGCAGTAGGGTGCTGCTATGAGCAGTGAGGGGTGGGAGTGACAGGGCTCCAGGGCGCCGCCTGCCGGAGGGGACCAGTGCCCTGAAAGGCCGTGCAGGCGGCCCTCTATCCTTTAGACAGCGCCTTCCCGGGGAGCCGCGCCTTCCCACCCCGCAGGAGAACCCCCACCCTGTCACTTCCCTCTGCACATGCCTGCCCCTCTCCTCCACCTGTCCCCACCCCACCCCCTTTCTTTTTCTGTGCTGGGAACAACCCGTGCTATGCAAGTGCTTTACCACCAAGCTACAGCACCAACATTTTCTCTTTTACTTCTCAGATAGGGTCTCGCTAAGTCACCCAGGCAGCGCTCACAATTGGGATCAGCACCCCCCCCCCCGCAGGTGCTGGGCCTACAGGTGTGCATCACACCCAGCATCACCTTCCTCCCCTCTGTTGCCCTTCTTTCCCCTGGCCTAGCACAGATGTACTCATCCATTTCTTCAGACAAATCACCTGTCTCCACCCACGCTCATGCCCCCCAGGAAGGGCCTGTGCTATTGGCTCCTGACCTCCGAGACACAGCAGGCGCCCAATAAACACAACACGTAGGATGCAAATGAACTTGTAACTATGTGGGAATCCCTTGTAATTCCTTAAAATGTTTAAAATTCAGCTCATGCCACAGTTAAATAGATCGCTTTTATTAACTTATCCTATGCCATCCACTAGAGCAACAGCCATCAAAATATTTCAGATTATCTCCAGAGGCTAGAATTATGGGCTTTTGTTGTCTTTCCATATCTGCATGTTACACGTAACACTTTTGCTTAATCTTTTTTAAAATGCGGAATACTGATTTTAGAGAATACGTTTCCTGTTTTAAGTGGAATAAGAAAAGTATGCACCATATTTCCATTTTTTTAACAAGCATGCATAGCAAAAGAACAGTAATAGCTACTGGTGCAGGATTAGTGTTTGCTTATTTCTTGTCTCTTTTTAAAATTCTCTACATTAAAAACATAAATTCAAAATAAAGAAAAATAAAGATTGTCTGGCAAGCATAAGGTCGTGAGTTCAATCCCTGGTACAAAAAAAAAAAAAAAAAAAAAAAAAGAAAGAAAAGAAAGAAAGAAAAAGAAAAGGACACCAGAGTGAACACAAACTCAGGCCTGATAATTTTTTTTTTCTTTCCTTTTTGAGACAGGGTCTCACTGTGCAGTCCAAGCTGGCCTTGAGCTCACTTTGCGAGCCCAGGCTGTCCTCGAACTCACAACCACCCTCCTGCCTCAGTCCTGGGACTACAGGTGAGCGCCCCCACACTCAGCCACCCGACAACTTTACCCCACAACTTAACGTACAGTGAAGTGACTGACTTTTCCAAAATTTCTAGACCAGCAGAGGGGGCCGGGAGGGCCATCGGCAGCCAGCCGGGCCGACCCAAAGACCCTGGACTCTCCCAGCGCACAGAAGCCGGGGACAGCGGTCCGCCTGCGGCTGCCGCCCGCGTCCCCTCCCGCACAACGGCCGGCCGGGGGAGGCCGCCCTTATCGGGCCATCGCCTTACATAAGCGCTATCTCCGCGGCATCGCGCTCCCACGCTCCGGCCCGCGGGGACAGCGCCCCTGACTCACCCTGGGCTCGGGCTGCGGGCCCAGGTGCTTTCCCTGCTTCCTCCTCCGCGGGGACCCCGGGGAGCTGCCCGGCCTGGACTGCACAGGAAGGCGAGGCCCGGAGGGGGCAGCGCCGAGGGAGGCCTGGGCTGGGAGCAGGTGTGGGGGCGCGGGGTGCTGCCCCTGGCCGGGGGGATGAGCGGGAAGGGAGCGCCCTCGTCCTGCTCAGTGGGCAAATGCGGCGCCCCAGGACCTGGCCCGGACCCCAGCAGGGAGACCGCAGGCTGCCCCTGCGGACGGACGGCTGGGGAAAGCGGGCACCGCCTCGGGCGCCGGGCCACTCACACCGCCCCGCCGGGGGACCTGCGGGCAGCCGGCCCGGTGCTAGGCCCAGCCTGAAGCCCGCTGTTCCAGGGAGCAAGCGGACCGCCCCTTGGTGTCCAGAGTCACTGTGGAAGCAGCTCCCCAAAGCAAGGATACCTAGGGAACCCAAATTAGGCTGGACCTTTCCTGAAGGCCCAGGAGTCACAGGTTTTATAATTCTTCCTTCTCATTGTGGCCAAGCGGGGATGGGTGGGCTGAGAGAAGTGGACCTCACTCCTCCTCTTGTTCCGTTTGAATTTTGTATCCAAAGCAAGTACTACTCGGTGATTTAACAGACTCACTCACTGAAAAGATAACACTCCCAGATGCTCACACCTGGCAGACACCTGGGTGCCAAGCCGTTCCGCTGTCCTAGTGACCACGGGGTCTTGGGAGGTTGGCTTTGGGTCACCTGTCGAGGTGCACAGGGTGCTCAACAGGCAAAAGCACCAAAGCGCAAAGCTGGCGCTGCCAATACCAGCTGCCCCAGGGCCCTCTCGCCAGCCCCTGGACCTGGGCCACTCGTATCTCGGAAACTCTGGCCTAGACCTTCCACTAGAAATCAAGCTCCTTCCTTTATGTGATGCTGGATTTTCCACAAACTAAGATCAAGATGAGTAAAGATGTGGTTTACAGATAGTGCCAGACACAGCAGAGACCAGAGGTTAAGCGTCACCCCTTGGGCCTATAAAAGCTGCCACCAGAGGCCAAGGCCACAAGCCACCCTGCGGTGCTCTCGTATCAGGCCTGCGCCTCTGCCCCTGTACCCGCCAGCGGCCTCATGGCATTCTGGGTGACCGTGGTCCTTGCTCTTGCCTGCCTCGGTGGCCTCACCGCCCCAGGCCCTGTGCCCGTGTCTTCCACCGTAGCCGTGAGCATCAAGGAGCTCCTTGGGGAGCTGGTCAACATCACCCAGGATCAGAAGGTGAGTACGGGCCGGCTGGGGCAAGGCCACAAGCAGGCCAGGCCTGGTATGAGCTCCTGGGGCTCTGGAAGGCGTCCTCAGAGGAAGAGAGAGAAGCCAGGGGAGGGGCAGTGGCCCCTGGGGCACAGCACTGCTGTACCCCCACAGGCTCCTCCTAGGTAGAGAAAGGTCAGGCCCGCAGGACACTGAGCCCTTCTTCCAAGTGGGTTTGGAACCCTGCAGCATGGCTGCTGTCCACTGCATCAGTCCACATGTCCTCCAGGGAAGGATTCACTGGGGGACGGGTCCCCCCCCCCCATTGCCCAATCACTGATGATGTGCTAGGGCAGTGCTGGGTGCTTCAACAATACCCTGTCCCATTCACACCTCCAGAGGTGGCCCCGGTGGCCCCATTTTGCTAAGTGGGGGAGCAGTGAGGCAGACAGAGGCTGGGTCACCACAGGTGGGACCGAGGCCAGCACATCCGTGTCCCAGAGGGCAGGGCCGCAGGCAGGGCGCTTCCTGCACCAGGTGGTGGCTCTCCTACAGCAGCCTAGCCCCCCAGCCAGGCCTCCCCACCCCCCAGGCGGCCCGCTGCAGCTGAGTAAAGTCAGTCCCTTCCCAGCTGTGTCTCTCAGTTTCCCTCTCTCGGTCCCATGACCTGAGAGTCCTCCCCACAAACCTCCCGGCCCCTCCCGCCGGGCAGCAGTGAAGCTCCCGCATGTTGAGGGGTGCAGGGGGACCTGCCCTGCTGACTGGGGCGCCCCTCACCGGCTCCTTGCTCTCACAGACCCCGCTCTGCAACAGCAGCATGGTGTGGAGCGTGAACCTGACGGCCGGCCTGGTGAGGACTTGGGGGACCGTGGGCGGCGGTGGGGACCTCGGGCTGGGCTTCATGAGCCTGCACGCTTGGGGCTGGGCCCCCCAGCCCCCCGCCCAGACCCACTCCCCGGGGCCTGGGCCCACCCCTCCCTGTGGACACCCCCAGCCAGCCGTGCTGTGCCTGCCGCTCTGACCTTGTGGTTCCCCCCAGTGGTACTGCGCAGCCCGGGAGTCGCTGATCAACGTCTCCAACTGCAGCGCCCTCCAGAGGACCCAGAAGATACTGAGCGGCCTTTGCCAGCACAAGGCCTCTGCTGGGGTGAGCGCCCTTCGTCGTCTCCCCACCCCATGTCCACGTGGCACCCAGGCTGGGTGGCCCAAGGGAGCGTTCACCCAGGGCTGGTGGCGGCAGGGACGTGGACTTTGGGATTTTCAGGACCTGGGCTCCTGACGCCTTCCTCCGCCTCATTTTCCACATCTATGAAATGGGTGACACCGATACCCAGTCGGTTGGGACTTTTTGGGGATCCAAGGCCACAGTGCCTGGAAAGGCCCCTGGCGAGTGCCAGCTCCCTCTACCTCTCCACCTCCCGCCAACGTGCCGGTCCTGCTATCCCCCGCAGGTCTCCAGCCTGCGCAGCCCAGACACCAAGATCGAGGTGGCTGAGTTCGTGAAGAAGCTGCGTATACACGTCCAGTGTCTTTACCGCCACGGAAAGTTCCACTGAGGCACGGACGGGCGGAGCCAGCGCTCACTTTGCAGACCCTTGGCTCCTTCGGACGTCAGGAGCCCCTGGGGGTGGGGAGAAGAGGGAGGCAGCTGCCCGCGACCGGCCGGCTTGAGCGTGGGAGGGGACCCCGTTGCTCTCCAGCGGCCACGCCCCCAGCACCCTGGCCAGCCGGAGCCCCTGGGCGGGCAGTGCCTTCCCGGATGCGGCCGGCAGGGGGCGTGCTTCACAGGGGGTGGGCGCTGTTTCCTTGGGTCCTTATTTATTATTGCATGTTATTTAAATGAGTGTTCGTCAGTATTGGGGTGGGGGAGACTGCGGCAGCCCGGGAGTCCCCAGAAGTGAGGGAGCGTGGGGCGGGTCGCAAGCACTGTACACACAACTCTGCTACCTCACTGGGGGCCGGGCCCTGCAGGTCCTGCCTCCCCAGCCCTCAGCTAAAGCATAATTTATTGTTTATTCCAAATATTTAAAGTTAAGTATTGAGAATGTGAGCAGAGAGTTAATAATATATGGGAGAGCGGGGTGGGGGGTGGGAGTCACTGAAGCGCTGTGTCACTGATGCTGACCGCGTCAACCTGGAATAAAAACCGTGACAGAGCCTGGCTGCCTGTGCCTCTTTCTTGGCCCCTGGGGGCGCAATCTGTGTGCTGGGCTCAGAGGGAGGCAGCTGGCCAGAGCAGGGACAGCCGGCCAAGGGCCCCAGGTCCAGAAGCTGGGGTGAGAACCCCCTGCCCACCACAGCCCCAGCCAGAACAAGGGCTCAAAGCGGGTCTGGTGACACGACACGGGGACCCCAGACAGGCAAGAGGACTCTGCAGCTTGGTTAGTGCAGGTGGCTTTCTGGGGTCTCAGGCTGGTAAGCGGCAAAGCCCACAGCTGAACAGAAAGGACCCCGGCTCTATAGCCCGTGCTCCTAAGAACTGTCGCTCTCCCAGTCCTGATGTAACCCATGGGGATCACCCCACCCTCTGAAAGCCTTGGTCTGCTCTGTGGCGTGTCCCCCCAGGGTGCAGTGTCTGGACGCACCTGCAGCCCCGGCTGGGGGACTGGCCTTACCTGTACTGCTCCAGGAGGCCTCTGCATCTTCCTAGAGAGCCAGGTCTGCAGGCCACAGCCCGGCAATGCAGGGTGGCCCAGGACACAACACCTTTGGAGCAGGGAGCAAGTTATCAGGGTGGCAGGTGGCTGCCCATGCTGGAGCCCCAGAGCCACTCACAGCCCTGCATTATCTGAGCGACAGCAGAGACCTGGCCAAGGGGCTAGGGACAGTGACTCTCTGCCACCTGAGGAGAGAGGGAACCAGTGCTGGAGCCAGGCCCCCCCAGGAGGACTTTGGAAGGGGCACGGGCTGTGCAGGGTAGGGCTTATGGCTGGCTGGACGAAGGCTGAATATGAGGGAACCATGGCAGAGCAGAGCTCAGGGACATCTCAACATCTGGACCTCTCAACATCTGGAGCCTCATCTTTGACCAGCATCTTCTCCAAGACATGGCGCTATGAGTCCAAAGAGCCAGAGGGGCTGCAGGGTTAGCTCAGCGGCACGAGTACCTGTCTGGGAAGCACCAGGTTGCGAGTTCAATCCCCGATACCAAGAAAAAAAAGCTGGAAACACACCCAGTGAAACCCCACAAGAACCCCTTGCAATCAAAGCTTGGCCCCTGGGGCTCCTGGCAGGGAGGGTTCCCAGGGATTTTTGTTGGGGACCTCTATCTCAGTCAGTTTAGCCGACTGTGCCAAGTGCTGCCACTAGGGGTCCACAGCTCGCCACCTCCTCGCCCCACTGGGCTCCCGCCCTAGCACTTGTGCAGCTGCCTCTGGGCCTGGGGACCTGTGATCCCCGGCAGGGTGCCGCAAGCCAGAGCGCTCCCCAGGGACTAAGGATGCCTCCAGAGCTCAAAAGCACAGCCGATGTGACAATGTGACGACAGAGGTGGCCAGGTCGGAGTAAAAGAGGAGAAGCAGGAAAAAGGTGTTTGTCAGCCCCCAAGGCTGGGACGAACCCTGGGGTCCCTGCCGGGAGCTCTCTGGGGCCTGAGGTAGCCTGGCTTCTTCCATGCACAAGTCAAACCCTGGGCAGGGCCAGGGAGAAGAGATCAGAGTGCCTGAGTGGGAGGATGCTGCTGTGGGGGCCCCATGAGGGAAGCCCCTCAGCACCCCCAAAACCCCCGGCTATGAGGTTTCTCTAGAAGAGGGGCCAGGGCGCAGGTGAGAAGTGAGACAGACATACGTGAGTTTCCGGTGAGCTCTCATCAAACACCTCTGCTTGCCGCGCAAATGAGGTGTCAGAAAACTCTCCAGTCACTAGGCGGTTTCTCTGAGACCAGCCCTGAACTGCTTGGGACGGGAAGGAGCAGGTACAGGGGAAGCAGGCCTCCTCTACTCCCCTGTGCCCAGGGACAGCCTGGGGTGACGAGGAGTCAGCTTCTCAGGTTTCCAGTGCCGCCTACAGGGAGGGGGGGCCTGGGACCTTCTGCTTGGCCCCACCATTCGCTGGTCAGCGGCACCAAACTCCAGCCCTGCTCCCCAGCGACCCCCTGCTGGGGAGGCCGGAGTTGTGAGGTGGAGCTGGCCATGTCCCCCTGTGTGGACATGCTGGCCACTCTAGGCTTCTTGAGGCGCAGGCTGGCCAGGACAGTCCCCCTCCCATACACTGCCCTGTCTTATTCTGAAAAAAAGAAGTCACAAGGTCTCATTATCTAAATTCATTTCTCAGCTCCACCCAAAGAGACAGGGCACAAGGTTTGCAACGAACTTTCCCAGATCAACTGATTTCTCGGCAGCCAGGGAGGCCCCATGACGAGGCATTTGAAATCCCAGAAGTGATTTTCTACTTACGACCTCACTTTCTGTTGCTACCTCTCCCTTCCAGCCTTCTGTGTGGAAAGTGATTCTCTTGCTGCAGCATCAGAAACTCCTAGCCCGAGCCCTGCCTGGGCTGCGGTGTGGTCAGAGGTGACGCAGCCTCAAATTAAATATAGCAACGCTCGTCAATGGACAGGCGTGCAGGGCTGCACCGATGCTTCCGAAACTCAGGGAGGAAGGGCCCAGCAGGCCACGGCGTCTCCTCTGTTCCTGCCTCCCTGTGGCCTGGTGACCCCATGACCAGAAGATCCACAACACCTTGGCCACCTGATGTCTTCCAGCAGGGGACCAGCGGGGACAGCTTGTCAAGAAAAGCAGTATCACTAGTCTCAAAGACATATACACACACACAAAAAGTCAGGCCTGGTGGTGCACTCCTATAATCCCAGCATTCAGAAGGCTGAGGCAAGAGGATTGTTGTGAGTTCAAGACTGGCCTTGGCTACAAAGTGAGCTCAAGGCCCGCCTGAGCTGCATAGCGAGACCCGGTCTCAAAAAGACAAAAAAAAAAAAAGGAAAGAAAGATAAAGAAAGGGAGCATCTTACCTTCCTCTCTTTTCTGTTTCTCACATTTTCTGTAAAGCGCATATTTTCATTTCCCAATAAGGAGCAAAGACAAATTTAAACTGAGAAAAACTGAAAACGGCCTGCAGATGACGCCTGGCCCTCCGGAGGGGGCTGCTCAGCAGCGCAGGGCAGGGGCAGGGCCCAGCGGGTGCCAAGGGAAGAACTGGGAGGGGCGCGGGGCCGAGGTCCCCTCCTCCTCAGGACCCACTGTGCCAACAGCAGTTCTGGGGTGTCCACCCGGCCCTGACCTGCTGGGAGCAGAAGAGCTGGGAATGCAGGGGCAGCCGGCCCAGCCGTAGGTGAGGGACATCAGGGCTCAGGGCAGTGCAGGGATGCCAGCTGCCCACGCAGCCACTCGGTCTGTGCTCCCAGCTCCACTCTGTCCCCAGGGGCTGTGACAAGGACTTCAGGGTACAGCGACCCCTGACCTCAGTCCTGTGGTGTCCTGATACCTAGGCCTGGGCCGAGTCTCCGCGGCCCCTGGGACTACAGCTGCATCACCTCCTCCACCAAGGAGCCCTGCACGGGGGCCTGTAAGGTGCTCCCGGTCCTGGAGAGGTGTGCGGACGCACGCGTATAGACAGTGCATCCTCTGTGCATCCGAGTGCTGTGTACACCGCAGCACGTATTGCAACAGCCACAAATAACACTGTGCCTTTCGCCTGAGTCTGGGTTTTCGGATCCTAAGGTGAGTGCCCCACCCCTTACAAATGGCCCATATGGCTCCTAGGAAATTTTAAACATTCATTATAACAAATTCCAAATGGCTCAGAAGTCACTCGCAGGTCTCTGCTACCGCCTGGAACCAATGGCTGATTCTGCCATCTCCAACTCCGACCCTGAGGCAGTGGAGGCACAGGCTTGGCGGCGCCGGACCCCTGGGGCAGCTGCACCCAGCACCCAGGCCCTCAGAGCTGGCCGCAGGAGACTCCACCCTCTGGCCCTGTGTGGCCACAATCTGGCCCTCCCTCTCCCCTCGGGAGGACGGGAGGACGCTGTGCTGGTGTCGCCTCTTATCTCTGACCTCTCTGTCCAGCCAGCAGGCTGCAGCCTCCTCACTGGCTGCTGATGGCCCACTTGGTCCTTCCACAGGAGCTTGCATGCCCGGCTCTGTGGGGCTTCGAGGCCGTGGTCGCCCCCCGTCTTCCTTTGCCCCTGCAGTGACACACAGGGCTGTAGTGCCTCCAGGCTCCGAGCTGGGCCGCTCCTTACTCCCTGCCCTCTCAGGAGCCAGCGCTTTTCTTCCTCTTCCTCTTCCTCCTCTTCTTTCTTTTTTCTTTTCTTATTTTTGGTTTTTTTGAGACAGTTGCTTTTTAGCGCAAGCTGGCCTTTGGGTCACTGGGTAGCTGAGGCTGGCTTCAGCCCCTCAGGGATCCTCCTGCTTCGGCCTCCTGAGCGCTGGAATTTCAGGCGTGCACCGCCACACCTGGCAGTGGCCCAGTGTTGAGGCTGCGCTGTCATTTTCCCAAAGCCCACAGAGAGTGGCGTCAGGTTTCCTGGGCTGCGGGGGACAGGAAGGACTCAGTCCCACTTGTCACCTCCCTCCATCCCAACCCCATGGCCCTGCAGACGACCAGCTTCGCTCGGCTCTTGTGGGGCTTCGCCCCTGCTTCCAGCTGCCTCCAGCCACCCACCCTGCAGCCCACCCCTGCAAAGGGCACTTTCTCCAGGGTCCACGCCCCCCATTCCTCAGAGGACGCAGATTTCTGAGGCTGTGAGGGAAGCAGAACCACAGCCTGAAAGGCTCCTGCTCCTCTCTTCCTGAGGTCGGAGGCCTGAAGGTTCACCCCGGCATCCCCAGCCCCCCAAAGTAAGTCTGGATGGGAACCTGTTCCTGGGTGAGCTGCAGGTGACAGACACCTCCTTCCTGTTCCTCTGAGCCTCGGGGAGATGAGGTCCTCCCCAGCTCCGCAGGGGCAGGGAGTCGGGGGCAGCCTCTGGGGGACAGTGCCAGTCAACACCCATGACGAGGGAGCCTGGTGTCCCAGGCCAGGCCGTGTCTCCTTCCCTCCACAGGCCCAGACACAGGCATGAGGGCTGAAGTGTGGTGACCAAGGAGAGGGACCAGGACACTAAGGAGGAGCCTGCACGGTCTGGGGAACAGACCAGACAGGGCCGCACGCATCTCCTGGAGCTCTGCTGCCCACCCGGACTCGGGTTTGCCAATGCGTTAGGTGCCACGGAGCTGGACCCCGAGGATGAACAGGAGCCATAGCCATGGCAATGACATGTGGTCACCACACCGCGCTCGCCAAGGGCTGGCGCAGCTCTAAACACCTTGGGGGGAGGGGGCTACGACTGTCACTGCATAGAAGCGGCCGAGTGGCCTGGTCACCCAGGAGGACACAGAGCAGCCAGGCCCAGGGAGCCACAGGGGCCCTGAGTCCACTTTCCTCGCTCTGTCACAGCTGCCCTTGGGTGTGACAAGTGCCACCACTCTGCACCTCCCCCTCCCTCGCTCCCCAGAGGAGCCCCAGAGGGGAAGAGCCACGGGACCCCAATACCGGAGTGTGTGTTGGTCATGGAGCACCCACAAGTGACTGGTTTGGGGGAGTCCGCACCAGGCTCACTGTACCCCAGGGCCTGTGAGGCCGCAGCCTGGGAGACGGGTCTGCAAGAGCCCTGCCGGAGCCCAGTGAGTCTCCGCTCCCTCCTGACCTTGGTGCTCACTGCCGTTAGTCGCTGCCCACAGAGGTCAGGGTGGGGGTCCTAGAGGGTCAGGGGCCCCTTCCTGCAGTCCCCCTTTCTCCTGTGTCCCTGAGAGCCCAGCATCCAGGCCACAGCCATCGCTGCATAGCCCTGAGGCTGGGACGGCCAATTTCCTCCTGACCTTCTGGGGACCTCACAGTCTCCCCCAGACATTCTGGGCAGTTCTCTCACTGCTGGCCTCATTCAACCTTTGAAAGAAACTCAGACCTGCTGCTCTGCGTCCCTCCTACCCCTCTCCCCATCGGCTGCCCCCTCGCCCCCCCACAGCCCCTCCCCTGCTGGGGGCTGAGAGTGTGAAGGGGTGGGGGACACGACTGAGCAGACTCTGCCTCAAGCTCAAGTAAAAGGGGCCGGGACGTGGCTGGACACGGTGTGCAAGGCCCTGGGTTTCAGCCTAGGAACTGAATGGTCACAGACCAGGGGAGACAGCCCCAGCCCAAGACACGCGGGCCGAGGGGCTGGCTCTGCCGAGGCCCAGAGCTGCAAACCCTGGGAGCCGGGTCATCGAGATCCCCACACCCTGGACAGCAGGCTCCGAGAGACTTTGGGGAGGACGGCGGAGGCTCTGAGCTGGGGCCGCTCCGTCCTATGCTCTGCCCTCCGGAGGAGCTGTGACCTCACCCATGGCCCCTATCGGAGTTCTCTGAGTCCCCAGGCAAATCACTGGGGGAGGCCACAGTCCCCACAGTTGCCTCTGCTTGGCAGAAGTGAGAGTGGACTACAGAGCCCTGAATTTGCAGCTGGTGTTCAGAGCGGGCGGCACCCCGTCCCTGTGAGGTTTGCCCAGCCCTACACTGCAGGGGTCCCAAGTCACCATACTGAGCTTGGCACAGCCCCAAGGGAAAGTCGTGAACACGGTGCCAGGGCCAGCACTGTCCAGAGTCTGTGCTTCACGGGGCACAGCTGTAGATACACACTGTGACACACGGATCAGCCCGGAGGATGACAGGCTAAGGGGAACAAGGCACACAGGACGGACACCACACAGTGTCCCTCACATGCAGAATACACAAAACCCAGTACGGAGAAGTGGAAGCCAGAACCGTAACGCCCAGGAGGAGGGAGAGGGAAGGCCGGGCAGGTGCTGGCCCAAGTTAGAGAGAGAAGCTCAGGAGACCTAGACATTGCACCCCTAAAAATGGCAGCGTGGCTGCCTGAGTGACCTCACCACAAGTAAATAAGGCATTTGTTAATTAGCTTGTTTGGCAATTCCACAGTGCATACCCTTCATAAATATACACAATTATTGGGCTGGGGGTTTAACTCAGTGGCATAAGCGCCTGCCTTGAAAGCAGGCAGTCGTGAGTTCGATCCCTGGTACCGATGAAAAAGACAAAAAAAAACAAAACAAAACACAATTATCAATAGTGAGCATGAAGAGAAAAGATACAAGCCAGGTGCAGGGCTACATGCCTGCAATTCTAGCACTCATGAGGCTGAGGCAGGAGGATTGCTGTGAGTTTGAGGCCAGTTTGGGTTACAAAGTGAAACCAAGGCCAGCCTGAACTACATTGTGAGATCCTATCTCAAAATGACAAAAAAAAAAAAAACCCCTACAGGATCTTCTGGAGAAAGCCATGGACAAAAGACCAGAGCCCAGGGCCAGGGACCGGGACAAAAAAGGCTGCAGGGAGAGGCGGGGCACACACCGGGCCCAGGCCTCCTCACTGCAGAGGGCACTCGGCACAGGGGCTTCAGTACCCCCTCACGCCCCCCCGGAATACACTGAAACAGCCCGATGGGCAGTGAGGCGCGGACAGCACTGGACCCCTGCCCCCCAGTGAGCTGGGGAGCTCATGGCTCGTTTTCTAATTAGCAGAGGCCATGTTTGAATTCTGTTTGAAAAGTGGCCATTCCTGAAACCTTGGGATAGACAGGCTCCAGCCCCGCCCAAGGCTTCCTCAGGCCCCGAACTGGGCCATCCGATGGCAACCGTCCCCCTCCGAAGACCTCGACCCGCAAGGACAGCGGGACCCGTGTGAGGACAGGAGCAGTCGGTGCCCGTGCCCTCCTGGCCGGCACCCAGAGAAGGGCCTCAGGTCGGCTTTCCCATGACAGGAGAGTTTCCAGGTGCCCCCGCCTGCCCCGTACCTGGAAGAAGCCAGGTCGCAATACCCTGCAAGTCACTTTCTTGATATTACTCTGTGTTTCCCCAGGAGGATAACACCAACCAGGCTCGGACACCTGTGGCCTCTTCCTTCTATGCAAAGCAAAAAGACAGCACCAACCCCAAGCTGATAAGATTAATCTAAAGAACAAATTATGGTGTAATTTCCTATGCTGAAACTTTGTAGTTAATTTTAAAAAAAGGTTTCATTTTCCTCTTGGTCTGATTTCACAGGAACATTTAACCTGTTTTGGTGAGGCATTTTTTCTCCTGGAAGAGAGGCACTGATTGGCCCCAACTGACTGACAATCTGGTGTAACGAAAATTTCCAATGTAAACTCATTTTCCTTTGGTTTCAGCAATTTTAAATCTATATATAGAGATATCTCTGCCAGAATAGCATTGTTAGCTTCCCCTGATAAACTAATTGTCCCACATTGTCACTGTCAGAAGACAGATCTATTGATGGGTCTGGTGCCCCAGCTGACGGTCATTCTCTTCTGCCTCCTAGCATGTGCCAGCGCCGTGGTCCGTGGGTGCAACCACCACACCTTGCAAGAAATCATCCAGCACCTCAACACACTCTCCAGGGAGAAGGTAAGGACCGAGCTGGCCCCGGCTCTCTGGATGTTCTGGTGGGGCCCTGGGCGGTCAAGCCCGGGAAGAGGACATAGCTGCTCCCAGGTCGTGGAGGAAGACAGCCTTCTCCCTGGCTTTGCTCTGGGGACGGTGGGACGTGTGTCAGTGTGAGGGACGGAAAGCTGCCTGGCTGGGGTCTGTGTCCGCCTGGAGGTTAACTTTGTCTCTTGCTCTGTCACCTCCATCTGTGCCCAGAGTCCCTGTGCCGAGCTGCTGGTCACGGACGTCTTTGCTGATCCCCAGGTAAGATGCTGTGCCTCAGTCTACCTTGGCAGACAGGTGGCTTGGGATGGATGGGAGGGGAGAGCTGGGGAGGAGTCCTCGAGTGTCTTACAAGAAACTTGAAGGGAAACCGAGCAGGCCTGAGCAGACCGTGAAGGTGTTAGCAGGTTTTGTACAGTGAGAGTCCTGACTCTGTTGTCAGCTGGTTTGGAGTTTCTGATTTCATGTGATGTGGACAATGGCTATTAGAAAGCTTGGGTTTATGATCCTCACTGCGATCCGGGCAGGGAAAAGTCCTCGAGGGCTCCGCCAGGTCGTGACATGGTCCCTGGCACACACAGGGCGCTCACCAAGTACCTGATGAATCAAAGGATTTTTTTGGCCCATGCATTTCTGAAAACCCAAATACTCTCACCAAAACAGATATTGAGATTACAGGCCGACGGAGCTTTCACTTTGTCTAAGAAACTTCCTACGGCAGCAGAAAGGGTACACAGAGCCCTGCTCTCCCGGCCCGGTCACTTGGCGTATGCTGGGGTCCGGCTGGCCTCCCAGACCTTCACTTGCACCGCGCCGCCACCCCAGGCCCCTCCACTTGGTCTGGAACCGCCTAGCTGAGCAAGCGGTCCGACCGTCCCTGCTTCTGGCCGCTGGGCATCTCCCCCTCTGCCTCCTGTCTCACCCCCGCCTCCAGCTGCAGTGGGAGGAGATAGATGTGACAGCTGATAGTGCGTTTTCTCCGACAAACATATGACTACCCCGTATCAATAGCTCTGTGCACGGCAGTTCCTGTTTTCATGGAAACACACAACTGAGAATGAAAGCCCCAAAGCCTCAACTTACCAGGGTCTGCTGACTACTTGCTTCCCATGGGGACCGGAGGGCGGCCAGGCCAGGATCGGGTGGGCCACGCGCCACAGCCAGGCCACACGGGGCCTGTCCTGTTCCCAAGGAACCCCTTTCTGGCTCTCACTGGACAACCCCATCTTCCTCCCAAAGGCCTTGCCGGGACTCTGATTTTTAGAAGGGACATTTTGTGTATCTTTGCACATAGGAAGTCTCCGGGTCCTCCTGACCTGGCTGGTACTTTAGGAACCAGGTTCCGGGGTCGCACTGGCAGGAAGGCTCTGTGAAGGCCCAAGCAAGGGGCTGGGGTGCAGGACCTGCCGCAGGGGAGGAGCTGAGGCCCGCCCGCCCGGAGGCGGTCCTAGTCCCGCATTACTCAGCTGTGTGGTGTTGGGAAGTCTCTCCACCCCCTCCAGCCTCGGTTTCCACATCTGAGCATAGGAAAGTGGCTGTGAAGGTGTTTTGGAGGCTGATTGGAATCTAGCTCTTGAGGTAGTGGAAAGTGTTCACGGAAGGCGGTGATACAGTGCTGACAGGGGCGCAGCCTGGGTGCACAGCAGCACTGATTCGAGGAAGGAAATGACCCAACCTGCCTGAGTCCGAGCCGGGTGACCACTCTGGGTGGTTTCCCGTCCACCTGCTCCGCGCCTCCCTACATGCTCACCTGGCCCATCCCGCTCTCCCAGTTCCTTTCCTTTCCTCGAAGACGAAGGAAGTGGCCTGTGGGGAGCTAAGGTGCTTCTTTGGCTCCCTGAGGGGAGCAGCCTTCCAGACCCAGGGCCTTCATTTTCTCTGGCGATCCGATGGAGGGCTCCAGCCTTTCCGAGTTGGAGCACCAGTAGCATCCTGGTGGTGGCATTGCTGGAAAGAGCGCAGGGCTCTAAGCCCAGGCCCTAGGAGCCCCCAGCTGCCTGGGGCAAAGGAGGCCAAGGCGGTGTGAGGAAGAGCCCAGTGCAGAGAAGGCAGCTGCTCCAGGAGGAACTGGGGGGAAGCCTTTCCCCGGTCAGCTAACGTCCGTGATTCTTCGGTGCGCGTCATGAACTTAAATGTGTGTATGTGTGTGAGTCCTGGAGACTGATCCCAGGGAGTGCTGTGCAACATCCCCAGCCCCTTTTCATTGTGTTTTGAGACAGTCTTACTATGTTGCTCGGCTGGCTTTGGCCTTGGGATGCTCCTGCCTCAGCCTCCTAAATAGTGAGATTGTAGGTGGGCACCATTACTCCCAGCTCAAGCATTGGTCTTGGTTTTTGACTTTTTTTCTCATCCATAGCATGGACTGACTCAATCTGGGCAGAACTGGAGCTCATGAATATGGCACTCACAGGACTGAGTGTCAGCCTACATGAGGGGGCTGAGAACCCCCTTAGGATACTAAGTCACTGCCACAGATGCCTGTTTCCTGCCACCTTGCCTGTGGTGTGGCCTGGGTGCATGGGGGTGGCCGGCCAGCCTACAGCCCTGCACCCCAGCAGGCTGCTTGTGGGGCTGAAAGCATTAGCAGATTCACATCCCAGACCACGATCACCTCCAAGTCTCTTCCTGGGCAGCTCCGACTGCTCGCTGGGCCACAGCCAGGCCCACTGGGACCCCAGGCAGATGGACACAGAGGGTCAAGAAGTTGGGGCAGCATGGAGGGTTTTGCTCTGCCAGCAAAGCCAGTGGAACTAAATTCCTGGGCCTGTAACCCAACTGCTTTTGGGATGAGTTCTTTACATTCTCCCATTCGATGGAGACTTTCAGTTCCAAGTATATCCTAATTCCCTTTAGCAGATCCTCTTTAAAATATCTTTAGAGGTTTTCTCCCTGTGTGACGTGGCCTGGTTAAAACCAACAGGCAGTTTAATTTCTAGGTTTCGAGCCTGTTTCAAGCAAGTCACACTAGGCTTCCATGGGAAATACGGTGGGCGCTGCTGCGGCCTCCTCGACTTGCCTGTGCGTCCACAGCAGCAAGGGTCACCCTGCTCTCTTCTCTCTCCCTGCCTGCCCACAAGCACAATGCCACGGCCACACTTCCAGCAGGAGCCAGGACCAGAAGTGACTTTGGGCGGGTCCCTCAGTAAGCGTCAAGGCCCCCCTGCAGCATCAGCCCACAGCGTTTGCAGTCTGGGGTTCTGGGTCTAGAGCTTATGGAAGATCCTTAAAATATGATCCACATTTCCAAAATTCAGTCTACAAAAATAAGAGGTGATCAGACAGATGAGTACTCTCTGCCGTGTAATTTACAGAAGGAAAGCCTGCTCCAGGAGATGGGAAATCACAGGGCAGACAGGAAACCCGCTTCTCAGCAGCTCTGCAGCCCATTGCGTTCTTTTGTTTTTGTTTTTTTTTAAACACAGTCTCACTTTGTAGCCCAAGCTGGCCTCGCACTCGAAATGATCCTCCTGCCTCAGCCTCCCCAGGGCTGGGATTACAGGCATGCACCACCTCGCCCAGCCATCCCATTTCTTGATTTCGCCAGCTGTGTTAAGTGTGAAAAGGTCACAAAAAAAGTAGCAACAATTAGTCCTTAGTTGGGAGGGGGAAGTATTTTAAAAACCTGGAAAGCTATTTATGAAAATATTAACCATAGTTTTCTTTGACTGGTGGGATGAGTGAGTTCTTTCTTGTTAAATGTGCACGATGTTGAAATAGAGAAAATCCACTGGAACAGTGCTTCCCAGCCCTGGGGATCACGTCCCCACATGCCCTGACTCAGGGGCTCTGAGAGCGGCTTTTCCAATAAGCTGCCCATGGCACCCACACTGCCCGCTGGCCCATGGGCCAGTGAGTAGCAAGGGCCAGTGCGGTCCCTGCAAAGCTGGGATCACTCCTTTATCTGACCTGGAAAATGAAATTGGGCTCAAGCTAAGGGCACTCTCCAGGCTTCCCACTGCGCTCGTCAGTGGAAAATGAGAAGATGCCACCCTCCCAGGCCCCCAGTCAGAGCTGCCCCAAGCCCCAGATGAGCCAGGCTCCTCAGAGTTCTAGCCCTGTGTCCACCCAGGTCACGGCCCCTTGGGTCAGCTCTGTCCAGGGCCCAGCCCACAGGTCCTTCTCCCCTGCACCACGGCTGGGAACTCGAACTCTGCGCCATCCCGCAGCGGGCTGTGGGGTTTCTGGGGGACGCTGCAGGGAGGGAGTGAACCTGGCACCAAACCAGCAACCGTGGCCCCGGTTGCAGAATCCCGTCCCACTGCGGCTGGCCAGTGACTTTATTCCCCTCCACTTCACCCTCGGGGAATGGGAGCCGGAACTGACACCGAGGAGGGGGTGCGCTTCTGAGCAATCCACAGCCGGTCCCCTGCCATGACGGGGTCTCTGCTCAGGAGGCCCTGCACGCAGCCTTCCCAGTCCCTCGGAGAGCAGCAGCCCGGGAGTGAAGGCCCTGGGTGTTCAGAGCAGGGGAGCACAGGCCTCTGGATCTCTCTCCGCAGGGTCCAGCCAGTGGGGACCTGTGCACAGCCGCGACGGTGCTGCACCATACAGCCTACCTCCGGGGGCCACAGTCCTGCCCAAACAGAGAGGGAGACCCGCTCTACCCCAGCGTCCTGAGACAAGTGTTCAGGAACCTCAGGAGCATGGCTCAGTCGGTAAGTGGCACTGCGCTGGGCAAACGGACTGGCCCCGACCGGCAGACAGACAGACAGACAGACAGACAGCAGCCTCACTTAGAATGCGTGGAGTGGGACCCGCCTCATCAGCCCCGGTAGCCGCACCTGTGATGCTCTGCACCGGCGGCTGCCCAGGAGCCAGCCAGGTGGTGCCAAGGCTGAGCAGGCAGGGCCCTGGCTCTCGAGTAGAAAAGGCAAACACGGGATTCCAGGGCACGGCTGTGGGCAAGGGGATATCCTGAGCAGACCGTCTGGCTTGGGCGGGCAGAGGTCCTGCTCTGACTTAGGGCCCCCGTCCTGGCTACTGTGTGACACAGACAGTCCCTGGGGAGAAGCAGGTCGCTGGTCTGCACAGGCCGCAGGGGACAGCGAGAGGGTGGTGTAGCCGGGCAGGACAGCACAGCCGGGACTGCCAGAGAGGCTCCTGGGGACCAGGGCAAACGGAGCACGAGGTGCCCCGTGGGTCCCTGCCTGCCCCTCCGGGCACGGCTGCCCCTTGCACAGCTGTGGAAGCCTGGGCCGGAGCAGGGCTGGAGGCCGGCAGGAGGCCGTGCGCACCGCCCCTGGTGGACTTGGGCCATGTGACACCAGTGACTCCGGACTGGCAGGCCTGAGGCTCCAGCCCTGCTGCCTGGTGAAAAGAGGGCAGTATCGACTGGGTACCCAGTGGAGGTTACGATAAGAGCAGCTGAGGAGAGGTGGGCACTTGTAATACGAAACGAAGGCTGCATAGACGGAGCTATTTAAAGTAGAAGTGAACAGGAAGGAAGGAAGGAAGCCAGTCCTGACCCAGAGACGTGGAGTGGCCAGAAGGGGAGGCCCAGGGCCGCGGCCTGTGGGGTGGGTGCAGCAGGGGGGGCAAGCACGGGACCTTCCAGGAGGGAGCAGCTCTCCCTGAATCGGCTCCAGCCACAGGGCTGCCGTGACCCCGGTCTCCCTGCAGCTCCACGCCACCCCCTCCGGGCAGCACCCCTCAGACCGTGGACCCCAAGGATGGAGGGGGGACGGGAGGAGCGGTACGGTCACCTGTGCTGCACACACCAGGTCCCAGGCAAATCCTGCTGGCCCCGTGGCCATCAGATTCCCGGTCACACGAGACCGAGGCCCTGACCGGCAAGCAGGTGACAGCAGGACCCAGGCAGGGGTCTCCTAATCGGAGCTAACACAAGTCTCTTTTGTAGAACTGTCCAGTGAGTGAACTCCGGCAGACGACACTGAAAGACTTCTTGGAAAATCTAAAAAGGATCATGCAGAAGAGATATTCAAAGTGTAGACGCTAAATATTTTAATTTATGAATTTTAATGGCTTTATTTTAAAAATATTTATATATTTATAACTCATTATAAAATAAAGTATGTGTAAAGTCTAACAGCAGTGTTTAATGGCGCTGGGTGTGCTTCCCTAGCAATGAAGTCACAGGTTTGTAACTTGTAGGGAGACCAGTTTCACTGACAGGGAGGGGATGGGTGCCGGGGAACAGGGGGGAAGACCACCTCTTGCTCAAGACTTCCCCTCGGGAACCCAAGACGCGGGATGATTAAGGAAGCCACACAGGCAGGCGAGCTAGCAGAGTCCCTGAGTCCTGCCTTCGAGCATTTCTGATTGCAAAGCTGTCAACAAGAAGCTTAGACCAGTCTCCTCCTGGGGGAAGCAAAGCAAACTCAGTCCGCGGGGTCTCGGGTCGTCAGTCAGTGGCCGATATTCAAAGTCGTCCGTCCTAACGCAAGCCTCTTGATCCCTAAGCCTTGGAAACAACTGATGGACAAGACTTGGAAGAGTTGGTTACCGTCAGAGGGCAGACGACAAAAGGGACAGGCAGGGAGGGCAGGCGGGACAGAGACAGCTTCCTGGGGAGAGGGCTGGTCTGAGCACACCGTCTGGAGTGCAGGAAACAAGAGCAAGAGCTTTAGGACTCAGAGCCCCAGAGGTAACAGAACTAAACATATTTATTACAAAAAACTTGAAAGGGAAGCAAGGTGTGATGGCACGTGACTGCCATCCCAACTACTGCAGAGGCTGAGGCAGGAGAATGCTTGTGCCCCAGAGCTCAAGACCAGCCTGAAATGCTGTCTCCAAAAAAAGAAGCAGAAGTCTAAGTGCAGCAAACTCATTTTCCAGCAGGGAAATAAACATGTAATATTACAGGCGGTGAAGACCCAGCAGCTGGTAAGAGGCCCTCAGTGATGGTTTTAGCTGTAGCCGGGAATGGGTACATGGGGTCGTTTCATAGTAAACAGTGAAAGGAAAACTAATAGTAAGTGAACCAAGATCTTTGAAATTATGATGCTGGCCACTGCAAAACCAAAAAACAACAAAAGCAAACATGATTTGCTGGGAACAGTACTTGGACTAAGGAGGAAAGAAGCGGGGCTGGAGATTGGTGGCTTTCGGTTAGAAGTGTGTTGGGTGTGTGTGTGGCTGTCCATGTGCATAAATAAAAAACTATTTTTAAATTAAAGAAGAAATAATATTGTAAGAGATACAATAAAGCAGGCATGGTGGCCTATACCCGTAGGCCCAGCATTATATGAGGCTGAGGCAGGAAGATCCCAACTTTGAGCCCAGCTTGGGCAACTTAGTGAGACCCTGCATCAAAATAAAAAATTTAACAAGGCTGGGGGTGTGGCTCAGTGGCAAGGCCCAGAGTTCAAAATCTGGTACCACAGAAAATGAGGGGTTGCAAAAATGCAGGAATCCTGGAAACCTTTACACTTGGTTGAACACAGCTCAGGAGCCAGCAATTGCAACCTTCCGCACCCTCGAGAGACAAGGACAGACGTCCGCACACACCTCTGCACAGTGTTCACACAGCATTATCCACAACTGCAGAGAAGCAGGGGCAACCCCAAAAGTCCATCAGCAGATGGATGAATACACAAAACAGGGTACCTCAAGGCCACAGAGTGCTTTTAGTACAAAGCGCTTAGTACAAAGCCACAAAGCACTAAGACAGAGCACACTCGGATGAGCCCTGGGAGCATCATGCTAAGTGAAAGCAGACAGGGCGCCGCAGAGCCATTCTATGCACGTGAAGTACCCGGCGCAGGCGAATCCACGGCGCAAACACAGAAAGCAGCTGCGAGGGGTCGGCGTGGTGGGGAGGAGGATGGGGGAACTGCAGAAGGCAATGGAGCTTTGTGAGACATCTGTCCTCATCACTGTGCAGTGCAGGCTGGCCTTGGGCTCACTTTGTAGCCCAGGCCAGTCTCAAACTTGTGACGATCCGCCTGCCTCAGCCTCCCAAGTGCTGGGATTACAGGCGTGCGCCACATGCCTGACATGGGACTTCTCTTGATGAAGATGACGGCGGCACGCTGTGGAGAGATCGCAAACCACCGGGCTGGGCGCTCCGACAAGCAGCATGAGAACTGTGCCTCATAAAGCTGACATTTAGGAGAAACTAACGAGCAGGACAAAATCAAGTGTCACTAAAACTTGGCTTTTAAGACACGAATGACATGCAAGAACATGGAGCTGGTAACAGTGATTGAGCACTTCTCATCCCCGCTTAAACATGTGACAAAAATTAATTCGAGAACTAAAATTACACCAAAATATGTAACATCTTGTTAACCCTTTCAAAATAAGGGGAAAAAATCAAAAGCTTCAAGTCTCACCCTGACCACAGCCAGTTTCACCCTGCCCACATAAAATATCGGCGTGCCAAGGGCAAGAAGAACCGAGGAGTCATGGAGGTTTCTAGCGCCAGGCAGTCAGTCAGTCAGTCGGAGAGCGCTCTAATTTCCTCTCTCCTTTGATTGAGCCTTATTTGCATTCAATGGCTAATGTGAGCTGTAGTCTGCCACAGGATATGAACTGTGGGTGACACTGTGAGTCTGAGGCCAGGACGATAAAGGAGAAGGCGTCAGAAGAGGGTTAGAAGAGGCCGCAGAAGGACCTGTGCGGCCTACAGAAAGTTTCAATGGTCACCGTCACTGACACCGCTAAGCCTCCAGAGGGGTCCCAAACTCTAGATTTACACACCCCAAGCAGGCTTCCGAGTTCCACAAGAGACAGACAACGGGAACAGAGGGCGCATTCTTACAAAGTGAAGAAACAGCAGGATCCAGTGAAAGTGAGGCAGTCCGCCAGGCAGGGTGGCTGGTGTTTCAGCCGCAGCTGGCACCTGCCGGGAGGGAGGCCCCTCGCCTGGGTGTGGACCAGGTGGCATCCACCGCTGAGGCTGAGCCCCTCTGCTCTCAGCAGCCCCACCCTGGGCCAGGCCCGGTGAGACAGTCTGATGAATGATTGAACAATACCCCACTGGGCTCAAGTCCACCACCGTCTACCACTGTCCGTCTGGACGCATTCTTGGGCCACCGCTAGAAATGCTGGTCTCTGCTGAGCGCGCGGCTCCCTGGCCATCCGTCACTGTCTCGGCCTTGTCTCCGGTTTTCCACCCCTCCCCCAAGCGCCTCCCCCCTTGGCTGCTTAGGGTTTGTCCTCTGACCATGGGGACACCTACAATGGACAGCTTCCAGAGCAAGGCGCGGCTGGGCTGTCCCTGCCAGGCTGGCTCCCCAGCTCCACCCGCTGCTCCCTGGGGCAAGACAGGCACTTTCTCTAGTCCGGGGGCTGATGTCACCCCACTTCCCAGGTTGGAAGGCCCGGCTGGGCTGGCGTCACACTCACACCTCTGCATTCCTGGAATGCCCGTCCCCTCCGTCCGTCCCTCCGCAGGTCTCCAGAACACATCTTTTCTAACTCACCCCTCCCGTCAGCTTCCACTCTGCTCCATCCTGTGTCCTCTCAGCCACTATTAAACCAAAGTGTGTTTTGATGTTTTGTCGAGAGAGCAAGCCCTAGCATGATCAGGGAAGTCACACTCCTGCAGAAAGTACATGTTTTTGTTTGTTCATTTGTGTTTGAGACAGGGTCTCACTATGCAGTTCAGGCTGGGCCTGAGTTCACTGTGTAGCCCAGGCTGGCCTCGAGCTCACAACAATCCTCCTGCCTCAGCCTCCCAAGTGCTGGGATTACAGGAGTGCGCCACCAAAAAAGCACATTATAGGGAATCCTTTGACCTAGGACACAGCTAGTCAGTGCACACTTCTACACACAAGGCAGAGGAATAAGGAAAAGGGACAGCAAGGCCACGCAGTGTGAGGGACAGTGAGAGGGAGGTTTGCTCCCAAAGCCAGCACGGGCCTCTGGAGAGCCAGTCAGGGGGCAGCAGACTCCCCAGGGCCTCCAGGTCCACATCGGCCCACAGCCGCCCTCTCAGGGCAGAGTCTGACCCCTCCCACCCAAGGGCCCTTCAGCTCTGGTGTCACCGCACACAAGCGCACTGTTCCCTGCTGCTGAACTTTGGGGCCTCCAGCAGCAGCTCCTCAGAGAAGCAGAGGTGTGAGAGGAGAAGGGGGGGGGTGGGCCCTCCTGCTCAGCTGCCCCCTCCAGAGGGAGGCTGAAGTTTGCAAAGCCAGGGGCTTCAGGGCTCATGCTCCCGGGCCCTTAGGCTGAGCCCAGGGTGGGCACACAGGAGGCGGGAGGGCACACCTGGAGACCCTGTCACAGCTCGTGTGAGCAGGACTGGAGGCCAACGAGAATCCTCTGCAGTGGGACCCTGCTGCTTTTAGGTAGGGTTAGGCAATATCCTCTTGCTCAGACTGGTATCGACTCAGAAGAATATTTTATTCAGTTGTAAAGTCCCAGGTAAAATCTTTTGTGCAATTGGAGAAATCAAGCCTTTGATTACAAACTAAAATTTCCCCGGCCCTCCAGAGAGGGCTGGGGGAGGGGAGCAGGTGTGGAGAACATCTCATCTGTCACACTCCGCAGTCAGAGGCACAAACGTGTCTGGGCGAGGCAACCTGATGTTCTGATAACGCTGATAAAAGTAACGTGAAGATTGGTCACAGGAAGCCCGAGATCAGCGCGAGAGGAAACAGGTTCTCTTTGAAGTAGCCTCTTCATAATCATTTTCCCACACATTTGCTCTCCTTCCGAAGGAAGGCCAAATACCTGATTTGCTTTGCAAATGAAACAGCTTCAGAACAAGAGATTCAGCTAATATCGGCCGGCCAGCCGACCAGCCCAGCATGGTGTGCAGGAGACTCTCCCGGCTGGCAGCGGGCATCGGGTCGAGGCGGCGGCTGCAGCACTGTCACCCGTGCCTGGGAAGCACAAGCCAGCCCTGATTGGCACTTACCAGGACGCTCCTCTGTTACCGAGAACGATCAGGCCAGGAAGCAGCAACTACTATCACGTTTGAAGAAGAAAGGGGGGGGGGGACGGGGACACAACGACAAGGGACCTAGTCAACCAGCAGGCAGGGAAGGAGGCTCGGGGTGTACAGCTCTGTAAGCCCAAGCCACATGGAAAACACCTCCCTTTATCCAGCTCCTGTCACCCGAGAGGGTGTGAAGTGGTCCCTGCACACGGCGCCACCGCTTGAGGGTCCTCAGGGGGCTGACAGGAGTGCGCAGGGGCACTCTATGGTCAGGGAGTGGCGAGGGCTCTGAAGCCCAGCTGGGGCGGGCTCACAGGTGGCCGTCTGTCACGCTGCTGACGCGGGGCAGGCTCTACACGTGTGGAGCAGGAGTATCAGTGGCACTTGAGAGAAGAAATCTCTCATGATTCTTTGCTACGCAAGCAGCCTGGCCCGAGGGTCTAACGTGGCTGCTGCACGGGGTGAATGTGTCCCGTCCAGCTCAAGGCCCCCTTGAGTCTCCTACAGCCACCTCACACGGAGCTCGGCAGAGACAGCAAACAAAGCATCTGAGGACAACCCAGGCAGAGCCACCACTGCGGGGCCTCCGGGTGTGTGGGGGGCCTGACTCTCAGAAGGACCCGCGTGAACTTCTTTAGGACGCAAACTGCGAGCAGGGTTTTCTCCTCGGTCTCCGCCTCAGGACAGCAGAACCTGGCTGTGGGTGTGGCCGGACACAGAGGCACCCTGGACCCCTGCTCCCCAGGAAGCTCAGGCAGGAGCCCCGGGCAATGCAGTGACCCAGGGAGACCCCATCTCGACATAGGACAAGAACTGGGGATATATAGAAGGCCTGGGGTTCAACTTCCAGTGTTATCCCCAAAACCCAAAACCAAAATGAAGGTGTGAAATCACACAGCCCTCCCTCCCCACCGTACAGAATCCGGACACAGATCCTGCCCCACACACAGGGAGGCCAGAAGAGAGCAGGCTCAGGTAACAGGGTTTTATTTCCTATTTAACCATGCCACATGTACACACAGTTCCGATATATCCACCTTAAACAGTACAATTTATACAAGAAGTACAAGTTAAGCTCCAAAGTGTGGCTTTGGAAATTAACACAGCAACCCATCGTACGATCTGTAATCTGGCCAGTACACAGTAGTTTAGTGGTTTTACTAAGGTCATTAATGATTTAAATCAGGTGAACTACAGTATGAATTCAAAGGCACTAGATCTTTTTCTTCTACTATTTTAAGAACAAAGATTATTGAAAAGGAAAACAAATGTATAGTTAAGAAACTGGATAGACAATGACGTGCTTAAATGTAAACTCTGCCCATTCCCGATTCACAGCCCTGGAGGACAGGGAGGACCTTCTGCCAGGGTTAGGGGGAAGAGATGAAGACTAGAAAGAAACAGCCCCAAACTAGAGTCACCATGTTTAAAACACGCTGCAGATGAAGCAGTACCACCTCCTTCTCTCAAAGCAACCCAAAATGTCTTGCTGTCCCCACAAACTCCCCTTGTCCAGAAAGCAAATGAGATCGTCTGTCAGAGCAGTTCTACTGCACAGGGGGAAACTCCCACCTCCTCGGATAAATCTAAATAAAAACTGGGAATATTACATTTTAATATCCTAACTATTCATATATACAATTACAGATTTATTAAAGAACATACTATAATGACATTCTACATCGAGACTCCTTTCAATAAATAAATACTATTTTTTAAATTAAAACAAGAATACTCATTCAATAACCTATTTATAGGATGTTCCACAGATTTTAAATCTGCACATTTATTTCAAATAATGAGCAAGTTTCTTAGTCTTTCAGGAAACTTAACACTGAGGTCACAAAGTCTGTCATTTGTGGACAGAGACACAGGCAACTCCGGGAAACCACAGATCACTCTCAGGGAGCCGAATGAGGTCTGGGCCCCACAGCGTCAGATGGGGACAGAGCCTGCAAACAGAACTCAGCTACTCAGGAGGCTGAAGCAGGAAGATCGCAAGTTCAAGCCGGCCTGGACAACTTGGTGAGACCCTGCCTCAAAGTAAAAATAAATAAGTACATTAATAAAGGGCTGGGGGTGCAGCTCTGGGGCGGAGGACGTGTGAGGCTCTGGTTTCCATCCCCAGTGCTGGAAAAAAGAGAAATAGAAGAAACGCTTGAGGTACCTTAAGGCTCAGTTAAAAAGTTACTCTTCCTTAAAAAAAAAAAAAAAAAAAAAAAGTTACTCATTTCCTATGAACTGAATTATTAAGGGCTAGCAACGTGGACCTTGAAAAAGAGCACTGATCTCTTTCCTCACCACCAAAAAGGTTTCTGAAGAGCAGATTCAGGCTGCTGGATTGCATCAATGGAAACACGCCGCAGCCTGCTTGGCCGTGTCCCTGGAGCCCGTGCAGTGCTAGGGGGCAGGCACAGACCCCTCCCCAAGTCACACGAGATGGAGGAGAGGCTGCCGGGAGATGCGTCTCAGTACCTGCCACACGGACCCACGGCCCAGCCCTGGGAAAACGGCCTAGTCGCAGGCCCATTGCCCCACGTCACCCTCCCGGCTCGCCACCAAGCTTGTCCAAACAACAACTCGAGTAACAAATCCTCGCTGCGAAGCCTTAAGACCTTTAGAAGTGAGGGGTTTTAGGACTGACTCTCTGTAGTGACTTTAAGACACACAAAACAATGCTAAGTGGTTTAAAAGTAGCATAACTTTCAAAAAATAAAAATTTTGTCAGTAGCCAAAAAAAGAACCAAGGACTCGATTACATCTGATTTTACTTTAAGAAATTAATGTTTGAGAAGGGCTTCTTGGGGGGCAGTGCTAGGACTGAACCCGGGGTGTTAGCCAAGCCCCGCTACATTCTCGGCCCAGTTCAGAGAGGAGTACGGTGTAACCAGACCAAGCAATAGAACAAAATTAGGGAAGAACATTTTCTTTTTATAAAACATAAAAACAGGTGTTTTAAAGGCAAAAGATTAAAAATGTTGGGCCGAGGATTAGCTCAGCAGCATAAGCACCTGCCTTGCAAGCGCCCAGTCATGAGTTCAATCCCTGGTACCAAAAAAAAAAAAAAAAAAAAGTTCTGTGTTTTTGCTTGGCTGCATCTTAGGATAAATGGAGACCCTGGTCAATTGGAGAATCTCTCAAAATTTAAAACTTGGATAAGAAAAAAGTCATATTTCAAACATATATGCATAGTCAAAGGTACGTGACCACTATGTAGTTTCTTAACTTGCAACTGTGGCTCCTTATATTTAGTTGTAATTCAATGTTTCAAGAGAACACGAAGCCAGAAAAACAAAAAAATTTACATATTTAATTTGAACTCAAAGTGGCAAAAAAGAAGAAACCTAGATGAAACACATTTTTAACTTGTTTTAAAAATATATACTTGCAAAGACTGTTAAATGATAAAGTTTTCCACAGAAATTCAGTAAATCAGTCACCTCATACTTACAAGGCCGTGAACGTCGTATAAAATGAGACCGTATTTTGAACTGGCCGCCCGGGCTGGTGAGGCGGAATCGTTTCCTAGATGTGCAGCCCGACACTTGCACTGAGCAGCGCAGCACAGGACAATGCCCTCTGCTACCTTCTCTGTGCACGCGGGACACACTCTGCTTTTCTATTTGAAATCCTGATAGATTATCTAAGCATACAGTAGTAGGGTAAATAGTAACAGTTCACACAGAGGAACCATGCCCCACACACGGCACTCCCCCAGCACGGCGCAGCCGGCGGGGACTCGGGTGACCGAACCTCCCGGCCATGCAGCCCCGTGTGCCACACTATCTTAACACAGAGTCTACAAGGTATTAGGCAAGTGCTCATTTCCAGGCTCACTCCATGATCTACAGCTCCCACTTGTGTGAAATTACAGACGTCTTCAGTGTTTTAATGAAAGGTTTTGTCCAGCCTAAGAACACCGCCAACTTTTATTGCGACTTTCCGTTTGTGACATTCACTGAAGTAAGGAATCAATTACGGTCTCAGGCTTTGCCGAACGCTTTCTGTTTGGAGAAGACAAAAAGACAGCGTGAACGCTTTCACACAAGACAGGCATAGAGACAGACACCATGCAGCGCATAGCAAGAGAGGCAGGAAATGGGCCATCCGCCCGGCAGAGGCCGCCCGTGTGATCAGTCCAGTCCGCCCCCCCACCCTCCCCTCACCTCCCCCACCCCGTCCCAAGCTGGGGGAGGTCCCCTTGGCGTCCCACAGCAGGAAGCAACTGGATGGATGAGTTTCAACACAGGGCTAAAGGATGTGGCCTGGCCAAGCACACTGCACGTGGACCCCTCCCAGAGTCTCCCCTGAGGCCTGTAGCTGGCACAGGGGGACTCAGTGACAATCAGGGATGCCAACACAAATGGCCAGGAGCAACCCCCGCCCAGTGGCACACACGGGACTAGGAGGTGCTACATCAATGTATGTGGCCACTGCGTCCCAGCCCTCTGGCCCGGCACACTGGACTGCACTGCTGTGGGGGCGGCATGCTGGGCACACCAAGTGGCTGACGGAACATCACTGAACAGCCACTGCACACAGGAGCCTGTGTGCATGGCCTGCTATTTCAGAGATGCTCTGTGTGGGCCCGCAGGGCCAGCCCATACTTTTTTTTTTTTTTTTAATCGGTACCGGGTATCGAACTCATGACCGGCCTGCTTGCAAGGCAGGCGCTTATACCGCTGAGCTAAATCCCCAGCCCCCAAGCCCATACTTTTTAAGGGTAAACTTTTTTAAACTAAACATTTTACACTGAGATTTACGAAAATTCTAGTGTGTGTTACAGGTCTACCTAGAAAAACAACTGAAATTTGAGATATATCACATAAAATGTACTTTTGGTTTCTTCTTAGAAACGAGCAAACCCAGGAACGGCAGCCTTGTCCTCCCAGTGCCTGCCGGACAGCACGAGGCCCCGGGCAGGAGGTCAGGGGGTTAGGTCAGGGGCAGGCGGCCCTGCCCACATCCTGGACAAGCTGGCCTGGAAGCACTCAAAGCAGGGCAGTGGGAGAGGACCTTGGTGCCAGCCCCGGAGCCACCGTCCACCTCCCGGGGCTTGGGCCACGTCGGAACCGCGCTTGCAGCTGAGGGAAGGGCAGTCACAAACTGCACCACTGACGGGCGACTCAGTTCTTCACGGCAGAAAAGCCCACCAACTGAATACAGTGTTTTCAGAGTCTAACCAAACTATCTGTATTAGAAGAAGCAGTATAAGAATTCAGAAATTAAAGATGGTAGGTAATCCCTTATACAATAGAAAGAACAAAAGTTAAATTCTATTACTTGTGAAACTTAAAGAAGCGAAAGGACTAACTTTAGCCAGAATTCATTTACTTCCCAAGGAATTTTCCTTTGAGCACAGCAGCCGGCGCACCTGCCATGTGACCTGACGTCCGGCTCCACTGCCCCGCTCCGCCCCTATGGCCTGGGCAGCAGCGCAGTGGCCTTACCTTCTCCCCGTCTTCGGCCTGGCCTTCCCCTTGGCGGTGCGGGGCCTCTCCAGCTTCATCAGAGACTGCCGCAGGCTCTCCTCCGTGTAGGCGAGGTACACGTGGGACAGGTCTACTTCAAAGGGCTGCGGGGGAGATGAGACACAGGCCACTCGCGTGGGAAGGCGTTAGGCCACATGGGGGGACCCTTCAGATACTAAACACACACCTGGAAAATGCCAGGCAGACAAAACCGGACAACATCTCAATGTCCCACAAAATGGAACTCAGAAGCCTTGACACACTATCAACTTCCTCAAACGCAGAGAAAAGCCACCGCTCCTGTCCTTTATGCTGGTCCCTCTTCTTCCTGACCACAGACTAGACTAGAAACAGCCTTGGGATGAATCCTCTGGCCACACCCGGAGGACCAGAGAGGTGGTGAGAAGAGGACCCCAAACAGCAGCTCCATGATTAAGGCAGCAATGGGCAGAGCCGTCCTGGTCGCCTGACCCAGGAGCCTGCACCCCAAAATGGACCTGCGCGGCAGAGGCCAGGCTCATAGTACAATTGAATGACCAACATGCCTATAAACAAACAAATGTAAAACAGAGAGAGAGAGAGACAGACGTAGTTTTGGGGGGAAAAAGTGCTCTTACATCTTTCTCCTTTTTGTCAGGTACCGGTGTTTGCTTCCTCATGTTATTTCCTGTATAGGCGACACATTTCTCAAAGAAAGGAAGGGGGAGGGAAGGAATGTCCTCATTAGTAACCAGCCCCGTGAATCGGCAGATGCCGTGAGCCTGTCTTGCTTTGTGCGCTTCTGAGCCGGGTCCTGCTATGCAGCAGCCCGGCCTTGAGCTCACTCTAGCCCACCTGGCCTGAACTCACGGTGACCCCCCTGCCTCAGCCCCCCGCCCGGTGCTGGGATGACGGGCTGCAGCGCCGCGTCCAGCCCTTTCCCGGCCCACTAGAAAGGATGACTGAAATGCTAGAGGAGAGGAGGCCCCAGCGGCCATTCAGTTCCAGGAAGCCCTGACCCAGACCGCTTCTACCGTGAGTTCTGTGCTATACCCTTTAATTAGAAAGACATCTCACTCAGAGACAGAGATCCTTTTTAGAGCTCTGAATGATGCCACAGTCGCCGCTGTCTTATTCGCTCCACTGAATCCTCATCGGGCACACCCCTGAACCACCTCCCTCGGCCACGCGGCGTGGCCCCTGGCCTGCGAGGCTCCCCAGCGCCCTGTGGGGACGAAGGCGGTACTCACTAGCTGCCACTCTCCTATGTCTTCATTCCAGTGGACGTAGTTTTCAATCATCTCCTTTTAAAAGAGTCAAACATAGACTACTTTTAGCATTCAATAACTAAAAAATAACATTTAAGGTATCAAAATACCCATATATCTAAACTCTTACTAAGTGGAAACAGTTACAACTCAAAATGTTACCCAATGCAGCATAGATACCCTTTGTTTGGCTGAGATCTAACACATCTAATACGTCCCTGGCATTCTCTTGTGGATGAAGGTGCTGTGAAGGTGCCACACCCATCGGGGGATTCGCCCATGCAGAAGTGAGGCGCTGAGCACACTGGCGGGAGGTGGGGCAGGACAGAAACAACAGGTTCTTACCCTCAGCTCCTCCCTTCCGTCCGGGGCTGCCCTAGGTTGAGTACCTTTTCCCTTGTGATGTCCCTCTGCCATCCCATTTTACCTTGGAGTCTGCCAACCATGAATTGAGACCATGAGCAAAAATATATAGTGTCCTATTTTAAATTGTGGGTGTGGGCATCAAGTTTCAGTGGCAGGAAAGTGCAAGAAAAGAAACTGCTACGGGGAGTGGGGTTGTCTACTGCATGACTGCACTGACCAGTGGTGCCGAAGCCTTGGGAAGTGGATCGTGGAAGGATTCTGGAAGGGCTTAGGGGCCAGCTAGAGAAGCCCTACACTGCAGTAGGCTGAGCTTAACGGAAGATTCTGGTTAGAGCTCAGACCAAAACGTTAATAGAACTGCAGACACTAAAGTCTGGGCACTGGAGGCTTAGGTGTGGTGTGCTCGGCTGTAATCCCAGCTCTCGGGAGGAAGGAGGATCACTGCAGATTAGAGACCAGCTTATACTACAAGGTGAGTTCAAGACTAGCCTGTACTAAATAATAAGACCTTGTCTCAAAAGAAAAAATGGCAATTACACTAGAGTGGAGCCTGAGACCAGTATGTGCGGTAGGTACACTGCAGAAAATCTGTCTACATTTTGCCCATATCCTGAGATTCTGCAAGAGATTGAGGGTGGCTGACTAACCAACCTGGCAGAGGAAATTTTATAGTAGCACACTATTCAGGCTGTGGCATGGGTACTGTGGCTGCTTTTTGTCAGATTGATAGTGAGAATCAGAAGGTAAACAATAAATTCAATGGTCTAGAAAGTTTCCAGTTTGGCCAGGAAGGAAGTGTCTACAAAGCTGAGGCAAAGGAGAGCATGGCTGATCAAAGATTAGCATGAAAAAGAAGTATTGTACATCAGGATAAGAGAAGAGATAACTTGAGGGCATCTGAGGAATCGGCACCACCACCAATTTTGTAGGCTCAAGGGTGTGCCACGTAAAGCTCTTATTTAAAAAGAAAGCGTGTGGGTCCCTGCGTAAGAAAGGGCTTCGTGAACTGGCTTCCCAGGACTCATTTCACAGCGCTCACCATCTGGGCACTCAGAGGCCTCCGGAGCCACAATCCCAGGGGGCCTGGCTACCGCCCAAGTTGGCAGCAGGCCTTAGGGTCACCATGTCCATGGTGCCAGCTTTTCAGGTATACAGAAGGCAAGAGTTGTGCGGTCTGCGCGGCTTCTACTCAGATTTCAGAAGAAGGTGTGGGAGGCAGGCAGTGCGCCCAAGAGGACAGTGTGTGAAGTCGTGAGAGTAGAGCTAAGAATGCAGTGGAGGCCAAGAAGTTAAAGATACTAGAAATACGGAATGAGTGCCGCCAGCTCGAGAGAGGCCACGAGGGCTGTGGCCAGCCAAACTGTCGGGGCAGGGCACCGGAGCCCTTGGAGCTCCTGTCTCCTTACACCTTGGCCCAGGTGTGGGACATGGAACCACCAGATTTAATGTTTGCCAGCCTGGGTTCGCTGTGGTCACGTTCCTCTCTACCCCCCTACACTTCCCCCTTTGGAATGGAAATGTATACCCTACATCATTTTATGTTGGAAGTATCTGACTTTCTTCCTGATTTTTACAGGGGCTCACAAGTAAGAGAGTAGGTGTAAGTCTCACAAGAGCTCTAGACTTGGACGTGTAAAAGGTGAATGGAGGCCGGGGATACAGCTCATTGGTGTCATGAGTTCGATTCCCGGTAACAAAAAAACAAAGGGGTGATTGGAGCCTGGGGCGTGCTGTTAGCAGGTAGGGCCCTTCCAGAGGAGCTTCCGGGCGGGTGAGTGCCTGCTGCGCCACCAGCCCTCTGCCTCCTTCCTTGCTGCCTCTGAGCCAGCCAAGCCCAGACTAAAACCAAGAGCCACACTGAACTTTCTAAGTCGAGGGGTGGGGGCGTCCCGTATCTGGTCTCAGGCTCCAACACGCTTTTTATAAATTTTAAGGTCCACATATCTTGAGGATATAGGTAGATCCCATTAAACTATAATAAAAATGACAAGCAGCCAAATGGTAACACAGGAATAGGACAGTGATGTGCTGTGGCACAGGGAAGCGGTGGGGAGCCACCGCCACATTCAGCTTACTGTCAGGGTCCCCGTGTTTGCTCAGGAGACGAGTTCACTACCAAGGGAAGAAAAGCAGGCCAACCAAGGCCAAAAACGAGTGTCATAAATCCCGATTAATTCTGTACACTTGAGGTCCAAGGAAAAACATGCTCAGGCTTATTTTCAGACAGATTTCCTCAAGATGTATTGAGATTCAAAACAGATTTTTTATAAAATTGGTATGTTAAAAAGTTTTTAACTTGGGGCTGGGGATTTAGCTCAGTGGCACAAGTGCCTGCCTTGTAAGCCCACAGTCATGAGTTCAATCCCCAGTACAAACAAACAAAAAACAGTTTTTAGTTTGCTTTCGGTGCTGGAAGTGACATACGTTAAATTTTTAAAAATATACTTGACATAAATTCTGGCTAAGAGGACAAACTTAAAAATTATGCTGGTATTAATGGGGACATCCACATGGAGGAGGCCGTGACGGCCGCAGGGCCACGTGAAAACGCTGAGCGTTACAGGACTGTACCCTTAGGCGCGGGTGACAAAATCCACACGCACAGGCACAGAGCATCAGCAAAGAGAGACAGCACAGATAAAAGGTGCTGAGAGTGAGCAGCACGTGTACTTTGATTGACTGCATTAATGTGAACCCAAGTTTCTCCATGACTGAGAAATTCTCAGATTCTTAGGTACCCAAGGAGAGAATTTTACAGATTCAGGGAAGTGAACTGAATCAAAATATGATGGCACAGTCAAGAAAACTGTACGGATTACTGAAGCATAAGTAATCACCATCTATTAAACCAGAAGTTGTAGCTCCGTGCGCAGTGACCCAGGTCAGAGACCTCTCGCGCACCTGGTAGTCCTGCGGGATGAAGTTGTCAATGATGAGCATCTGCAGGCGGAGCTCCCGGCTCAGCTGCCGGATGTTCTCCAGGAGGCCTTCGATTTCCCTCTGGTGCTCTTGCTGGAGATCGGCCGTCTACCAGAGAAGCCACAAGCGTTTCACAAGCAGACAAAACTTAACATGCAGAAGAGTGCCAGCCGGCGCCCGGCGCTGGCCCCAGGGGCCCTGTGAGCACGTGCCCAGCCCTGCTACAAGGCGGCAGGCAGAGTAACACTGCCGCGCATTTCAGAGTGCTACGGTTAGAAACAACAATCTGCTTTCACAGCTAAAATCAGAAATTGCACATAACAGAGAAATGTATCTTTAAAATTGTGAGCATACAGTAAAATTATTTAGGAATTCTTAATCAAGGAACTTTTTAAAAATTCAGAAATACATTGCAAGGCAATTTCAAAGCAACTAACCTCTGACTTGGCAGCCATCAACATGGTCCAAACTTTCTTCAGTTTTTTGGTCTTTCCCTGTGCTTCCTCTTGCAAACTGGTGTATTTTTCTTCAATATCTAAGCGTTCTTGCTACAACAAAATTGGTAAATTTCACAGTAGTTTTTGTTGTTTTTGTTTTTCATCTTTTTGAGAACTCACTACGTGGTTCAGCCTAGCCTTGGGCTCACTTTGTAGCCCAGGCTGGTCTCAAATTTGCAATGATCCAGCTGCCTCAGCCTCCCAAGTGCTGGGATTACAGGAGTGTGCCACCACGCCTGGCTTGTTTTTTGTCTTTTTGAGACAGTGTTTCACTATGCAGTCCAGGCTGCCCTTGAACTCAAATTGTAGCCTAGGCTGGCCTTGAACTCCCAGCAATACTCCTGCCTCAGCCTCCCGAGTGCTGGGATTATAGGTGTGTGCCACCATGCATGGCTTAAGTTTTCCTTGCTAATCATAAATTTAATATTTAACAAATGGCATATGTACGGCAGCTATTATCCTCAAAATAATCTATAAATCTGCTTTAAAATTTCATTAAGATTACAGATTAGTTAGCTTTCCACTGGAAAAGTTAAATACCTCTGGAAAAGCACTAAAACTAAAACAAAGTCACAAAGTTACGCACCTCCTTTTCCTCAAGTTCTCTGCGGAGCTGCTCAGCCCTTTTCCTCCTTTCCTCCAGTTCCATGTTGGATTCCTCGAGAAGTTTCTCTTGTTCCTCAGCTTTGGCCAACAAATCCACCCCACCAACAATGACCTTCTTCTCTAGAGCGGACAGTTTTTCCAGCAAAGACTGATGCTCCTGCCTGTGGAGAGTATAGGAATACCCTGCATTTACCAATCACCTACTACCCTAGAGTTTACTAAACAAAGAAAGTGTATAATTTCAAAGCAGAAATATAATGACATAACATCTCTTCCAAACTGTAACTCTGCAGTATGAATCAATGCATAATCTGATCTTAATTCAAACTTAACTGATACTTCTTCCTCCTACATAGAGATAATCAAAGGAGATCTAATTTTTAGAAACATACCACAGGGGTGGGCTCTTCTACCCCTAAACAGCTACACTAGACGAAAATCAGGCTTTTAACTGCTATTCAATTTTCCTGCTTATAGATTGATTCTATTAAAAACAACGCCAGTTCAATCAAGCGTCCACCTCAGTTAATACTCACTGGGCTTTGAGAAGATCTTTTTCCCGTTTCTCTAACTCAGCTCTAGCTTTGTTCCTTTCTTCTTCTTCCATATCAAGTTTTGTTTCAAGGGCTTTTCTCTCCTCATCAATTTTTGCTTGCATTTCAACCATCTTATCTGGGGAAACTTTCTTTTTACCTGTTTGAGTCATTTAATTACAATAATCACTAAAACAAGGAACTGTTTCAAAGTACCCTCAACACAGAACTGCAGAGACGCCTCAATGATACAAAACTGAGTATCAGCATTTTAAAGAAACCAACCCACTAGTACCCCTCGTTTCCATTTATTATGTTTCTGGGTGAATTTGCTAACGTGCTAAATTCAAATTATTCTACAACTGTGCAATGACATCCAAGAACCAAAAAAAAAAGGTACGTGACAGAGAAGCAAAATAAATGAGCAAATAGGAAAAGATTATTAAAGCCAATAAAAAAGATGTCTGTGTCCCCAAATAACATACCTATGTTTTTAAAAAGTAAGATGCTCTTTAGGTTACTTTTCTTGCTAATTAAGTACAAAATCAAATGGCTTCTCAAAATACCTTCATCTCAGTCACAAAATAAATGCACAGTTCATATACAGGTATAAAATGCAGATTAAAATATTGCACAGAATTTACTAGAGAGTACGTTCAGTCTGGTATCCTTTTTTATCTTTGTTGAGATAAGGTGTCACTATGTAGTGCAGGCTGGCCTCAAACTCACAGCAATTTTCCTGCCCCAGCCTTCCAAGTGCTGGCATTACAGGCATGCACCACCATGCCCTGCTGTCACTGTATACTTCTAGAGGAATAATTCTATGCTAATCATGTAAGTTACATAGTAATTAGCCAGGTAATTCACATTGGTGAGCTGTCAGGCTATATCACACCCTAAGTGAACAACTAAAGTAGCTTATTACCATACCAAACTCAAATCCGTAATCTAACTCAGTTTAAACATGCCAAATGTCAAATATAAGTAGAAACACTATTAAAATATAAAGATGGAACATAGCTTCCAACTGATTATTTTTATTATTATGTCTAACTGTTTTATGTAACAAGTAATCAACACAAACTTACAGATGAATTTCAGAACCATGAAATTCATATAAAAATTAAAAAGAGAAAATAAAAACTAGCTTAGTGAAATGACTGTGAAACTGAATCAGTGACAACTCATTTCTAGAAAGCCAGCTTCTTAGAAACACGTGTTCCTTCAGAAAACCAAGCAAACTTTTCACAGAATTGGTCTGAGGTGCTGCTGCAAGCTCTGGCATCCTTAACTTCCTTCCCGAAGGACTGAGCAGCAGGACCCGGAAGGGGCTCTAAGCCCTTAACGTCTCACCCAAAGTCCAGCCCCTCCTGCTAACAAGGAGAAAGAGCTCAGAGATAACTATACGGAGATAAAATATCTGAATACAATCTTTAAGAAACAAATACCGTTCATTCACAGGCTTCAACTCTTTAACACAAATTATATCAAAAATTCAAAATACATTATCCTCCATTTCTGCAGAACTACAAATCTAATGCAAAATGTAAGCCACACACAAAAAAAATAAATAACAAAGTGAATGAAAGCACTGATCCGAACTCATGCTTCGGTGTGGTGTGATTCATTGCGTTCCAAAAGTAAGGACATGAACCCGATTCTGTTGGCCTGTGTGCCACGGTCGCCTATGTGCAGCCTGTTGAATTGCTGTTAAAAAAAATTTAACTCCTCTTCCCAGTGAGTTTCTAGAAAATGTTTCACATCAGCAATACTATTTCTAAGAAATTTGAGGGAGAAGAGCACAAGTTTGGGTATATAGTAAAAACCTGTAACTTCCTTTCCACTTCAGAATTACAAATACTTAAAAAGAAAAAAATGACAAATATGTAAAGATCCAAAAATCAGGTATAAAGACAAGGATACCACTGGTGTGGAGGAAATGGTCTGATCAACAAATGAACTTAAGTATTTTAGGCTTCTAATTATTTTGTTAATATTTAAAAACATAGCTAGCAAGGTGTGGTGGCACATGCCTGTGATCCCAACACTCAGGAAGCTGAGGCAAGAGGATCACAGCGAGTTCAACCAGCTTGGGCCACATAGTAAGTTTGACGCCAGCCTGGGCTGCACAGTGAGACCCTGTCTCAAAAAACAAAAACAAAACCATAACTCAAAACCCATATGAAACAGTAAGATAAAAAAATATGTAAAAATATAAAAATTCATGACTCTGGATGCATTAATACTATGCCAGAATTATATTAGCAATTCAAAGTCATTCAGGTAGGTTTTTCAAACTGAAGGTTTGGCAGCAAAAATGTCAGTGTACTCCTCTAATGTTCATGAAAATTAGCAAGAATACATAGCTAGCATTACTTTATTTATTTTTTTGTCGGTACCGGGGATCGAACTCACGACCGCCTGCTTGCAAAGCAGGTGCTTATGCCACTGAACTAAATCCCCAGCATATTAAATTAGTCTACTGATTGGTTTGGCAGTGCCATAATCCTGGGAGCCTGGATAGAGTATAAAAGGGGCAGAAAGACACTGTTACCATCGTTGGTTGCTTTTGCTGTGTTGCCACTCTGAACAGTTTCCCTTCTGCCATGTGCCACCCTGCTCTGGAGCCAGCTGGTTATGAACTAATACCCCCACAAGCTGTAAGTTAAATAAACCTTTCCTCCTTTAACTTTGGGTGTTGGGTATTTTGTCTCAGCAACGAGAAAAGTAACAAGATAGTTGTGTTACTTAATATTGACTTTAGGGTTTTATGGTACATACCTTTATCAGTCTGTTTTTGTACTATTTTTTTTTTTTTTTTGGTCTTTTTCCTTTTTATCGGTACCGAGGATCGAACTCATGACCGCCTGCTTGTAAGGCAGGTGGTTATGCCACTGAGCTAAATCCCCAGCCCCACTTTATTTATGTTTTAAGACAGAGTCTCACTATGTAGCCCAGGCTGGTCTCCAACAAGCAGGGAGCCCCTATAAAATGTTACTCTAGCAAGAATCACTCTGACAAATCATTGTATTTCTTCAGGCCACACATTAAGCTAAGTATGAACATGTAATATACCAGCGTACTAACCAGACATTTAAAGACAAGGGATCACTAGGACTCATTTTTGCTTGTATTTTACATGAACTTTCTCCCTTTGTTTTCCTGGCCACAGCCCTCAGTCTCAGGGGCTGGCTTCAGGAATCCCAGGGCTGCACAAAGCCCGGGGCACTGGGGTCCATGGAGGGGGCACTGCACCACAGGCTGCAGGTTCCTGGCGGGGTGCTGGGTGGAGGCTTAGGGACAGGGTACTGGCCAAGCCCTGGGCTTGGCTCCTAGCACCACTGCCGTGACCACTACAAACTTCATCAGCCGAACTAATAGATCAAAAAAATCTTTCTTTTTCTATTAGTGCATGGTAAAATTCAGTAGAAAATTTCAGGTAAATAAAATAACAAAACAGCTAATGCCATAGAGAATATGTAATTTTGCCAAGCAGAATCAGCAACAGCAACACTTTAAAACCGCCCTCTGCCATGTGCTTCACACAACACGGAGAGGCAGAGCCAGCGCAGGAGGGTGAACTGAGTGGACTTTACTTCTGTTATATGAGCAGCCACAGGCGCAGGTAACAAGAACCTGACTCCTGGCTTAAAAAAGGGAAAAATGTTTGAATATGAAGTCATAATTTTATTGCCAAAATTTGGCTTTAATGGGTCTTTAAGAATTTAGGAAAAAAGGAAGCTTTCAAAAAAAAAAAAAAAAGCTACAGTTGATTCTTTTTAAATATAAAAGATACTTACCTTGTAAAAATTATTAAATTTTAAAAATGTAATGTATCTAAATAACGAAGTTCTTTATGAGTTAAATAACTGTACCAAATGGAGTGCAAATCAATCACACCAACCTGCTTGATCTTGCAATAAGAAGTGGTAAGCAATCGCAGACAGGAAGCACACGCACAGAGACGAGGAGGGAAAAAAGGAAAACATTACTTCCTTTGTAAAACAAAGAAAATGTTCATTTACAGCATTAAGCATTCATTCCTAGTATAAATGTAGAAATCATTATCAAAACTGAACTAGAGCTCATGTAAAAGAACACACATCCAATACTGCTCGAGAGGTGACTCAGGCGAGGATGGTAAGGCCCGGTCTAAGACTGCAGCTCAGAACAGCAGCCAGAGGCCAGTACCACGTGGCGGGCGCGGCCGGGAACCTGGTGAGACCTAGGGATCATCTGAGAGGGCAAAGCAGAAACTTCAGCCAACTTCAAAAGGTAACATGTTAAAAGTAACACAAGTGACATGGCAACAGACTCCCAACGCACCATTTCATCGCACATCTGTAACAGGTGTGCTCCAGTTTAAGAAAACTCAACAAAAAAATCTGAAGCAACTAGAGATAAATTAGGTCATAGTAATCTGCACCAATTATTTGATTTAAGTGAATTTAATGAAGGATATTTAAAGACATACATCTCATAGTATACTTGATTTTCTAACTTGATGTGTAAGCATTTTAAGAAAAAAATCATTACACAAAATGAAGTACACCTGTTCAGTAACACACTCTCAACCTATTAGTAGACTGTTAGAACAATCATGATGATTCAAGCAGGGGATACCTAACCAAAGGCCATTCATGTTTTGTAAAGGAAGGGTACGTACACACAAGTTACACAAGCAACCACATGCCGGGACCACATCTCTCCTTTTCACCAACACATCCGTGTTAAACAACAAAATATTATGTGCAAGTTGTGCAAACAGCAATTAAAAGTGAGTTAAAGAAACTCATTAAATAGTGTACTTTTTAACTTCACTGAGAACGAAAGTTGTAAAATAGAAAATTAAACTTTAATACTTCCTCCTCAGCTATTTCTAACACAAAGTTATACTTCTCTCTGGTCTCGAAAGTAACTTAATGCAATTTACAGATACACTCAGAAATTAATTTTTGGGTTTTTTTCTGAGACAGGGTCTCACTATGCAGTACAGGCTGGCCTTGAAGTCACTATGTACCCCAGGCTGGCCTAAATTTGCAGTGATCCTCCTGCCTCAGCCTTCCGAGTACTGGGATTACAGGTGTGTGTCCCTACACCCGGCACCCTTGAAACTCATTGTTTTGGTAATTTGCTTAAAAATTATCAACAGACAAAAAGAGTTTTAATATTCTTGGAACTCTTCCTCTAGAAAGTTAAAAGCGTAAGAACCACAAGCAGTTATTTTGTGACTAGTTTTGAAAAAGTTTAAGTACTGTACATAGATAATGCTTTAAAAGACAGTAAGCTGCAAACATACAAGAAAGATCTTTGCTTTCTAAAAATAAAATATACATAAATAAAATTAAATAATACTTTTCAACTTAAGAAGATTTTTTAAAATTTTCTTTCTTTTTAAGTGTGACATAGTCCAGATAGACCCTGCATCAATTTTTCACGAGATTCTGAATTCCCTAATCACATCTTAGAAAATGTCTTAAAATCAGGGAATTCAGAAATGGGGATACATGTCCATTTGAAATAAAGTACTACTCAGTTTATCTTCACTTGCCTTAAACTTTCAGCTTTCTTTATCGTAGAGCCTCCCACAATAAGCTACGGCCCAGCACAGGACTGGCAGGTCCGAACCTCACAGAAGGTGCCGTGACGCTGGCATGCTGCCAAGTCCACTCTGCACTTCTCGAGACTCGGAATTTGCCGTGACAGATCACTTGTCCCGACAAGGACTAATCTTTTACCAGGAAGGACCGTAAATCATTCTGGTGCACAGCTTACTAGCTCTCTTTACATTATCTCAGCGGCAAAAGCATGAATCTCTCTTCCATTGCCTCAAACGTAAGCTAAACATATGTCCCGCACATATGTTAGACAGTCATGGTTCACAGGAAGCAATGAGGGCGAAGCGGGGCGGGGGCACCGCATGCTGTGCCTGCGGGGAGGTGCGACAGGGGCGTCTCCCGCGGGCAATGACAGGGAGGGTGCGCGGCATCCATCGCAGACGAAGCTCATGGGTTATGGAAAGCCAAAGCTCTGCAGAGAATTAAGAGCTACACTCACTAGGCAAGAACTTATCCAGAGGTTTCTCTATGACAGAGCATGTGGAGTCTGAGCTACTGCTGCTGCTACTGCCTAGAAGACAAAGAAGTAAGCCCGGCGGGAACCGGAAGCGAGGACACAAGAAAACGGCACACACACATAGTCAGCGCCAGCGCATCCGGGACGCTGCAGGACAACCCCGCTCCGCATCAGGGGCCCAAACTTACTCTCCCTCAAGGCCAGGCTTGACGGCAGCCTAAGCATGCACCGGATCTCTGTAAAGATTTTCTACAAACCCCACTGCTCTAAACGCAATCATTCGGAGGGTCGGAAGGGTGGGAATAAAAAGCAGCAAGTCATCTGGTGGCATCTGCCTAAACTACTTCGTTTGAGAAGTTAAAGGACCAAGGTTTTAAAACTCAGTGCCCACGATGCTCCAGGAGTGATAAATCACCCCTCATCACAGACAGAGGGTCTGTCTCCAATTTCCCTCTCTCCCCTCAAAATATCAAACTTTCAATACAACCATCCATGCTTAAGGTTTGACAGCTAAACTGAAAAGGTTCACTGAAAACATTTACCTGTCTAGCATAGAAGGAAGATATAATACTATTAAGTACTTTAATATATTCAACCACGGCATTTTTCTACTTATATATTTTTTTGGTACCAGGAATCGAACTCATGACCTTGTGTTTACCACGCAGGCACTTATGCCATTGAGCTGTATCCCCAGCCTTCACATTTTATTTTTAATGAGCCTATTACGTGCTTTCCCTTGGAAGGGAACAGTTCACTCTGAAAAACTTGTGAGACCTTCCTCTGGGTCAGGCACGGAAAGGAGACCGGGGCAGTCAGCTCTGCAGATGGCGGGAACCTGTGGGCTGGTTCAGTCTTTATTTTTTATGTATTTTTTAAATTTTAAAGAGAAAAATTTCAAAAGCAGATAATCAAAGGGTAGCAACGGTTAACACAGTGCGTACTGTAATCTTCAGTTACTCAGAGTACAAGATATCGGCATTTGTTCAAACAGTATTAGCACAAACCTTTCTTTTCAATGAACTAAGAGAAACTAGTAATATAACTATCTTTTATATATACACAAAGGAAGGGTAACTAAAAGATAGTTTAAAATATATATATATATATATATTTTACTCTTCACTTCCTTTCTCCGTTCCCCTATCCTAACTTCTCTTTCTTTTTAAAGCTTCTTCCCATTTCACAGTATCTATTGTATGTTCTGGATCTTATTTACTCTTTCAGCTTCTTACACTAAAGAGACAATATGATGTTTACACATGTGCGTCTGGTTTATTTCACTTATGAGTATGGTGTCAAGTTGCTTCCATTCCCCTATAAAAGTCTCCAGTTTGTCCTTATTTACAGCTGAGTAGTACTCCACTGTATAAAAAGACCACCTCTTTTTTTATCCATTCCTCAGTTGCTGGGCATCTGAGTTGTTTCCAAGATCTAGCTATTACAAATTGTGCTGCTATAAACATGGGTTGAAGTGATATAATGTTTTTAATTCTGGGAAGCTTCCCAGAAAGAGAACAGCTGGGTCAAATGGGACCTTTAGTCCTAGCTTTCTGAGGAATCTCCACACTGATTTCCACAGTGGTTACACCAATCTGCATTCCCACCAACTGATGGAGAAGGGGGGTGTCGTCCCCCAACCCCCACAGCCTGTGCAGCATTTGTTACAGGTTGATTTCTTGATAACAGCCATTCTTTCTGGGGTGAGGTGCAATCTCAGTGTTGTTTAAATTGCACCTCTCAAATGAACAATGGTGTTGAATATTTTTCCACATGTTGATTTGCTGCTTGTGTTTCTTAGTCTGCAAAGTGTGTGTGCGTCTTGGATGGAGTGCGGTTACTCTAACAACATCTCACTAACACAGACGGGTGCTCTTTGCCAGCTCCTGCTCTCAATCGTGCTTCTCCTATCTTTTGAATTTACACAGTTTTTAAATTTGGGATATCTGATCAAGCAGTGATTATTTTTAACAAAATCATTTAAATAAGACAAGCGAAATAGGCACCAGCTTGAAAACAATGAGCCACATTAATGGAAGAGAGTTCTGGAATAAATATGTAGGGTAGAAGGTTTGAAATGTGGGCCACTGTGTCCGTCTCTTCGGCCCGTTCCTACCCCTCCAGCATGACGCAGTCTTACTTATGCTTCCTAACACACGCATCACAACGGGGTAAGGGTGAGAGCACATTTGATACAGAAAAAATTTAAAATCCACGTATGAATTTATTATTTAAAATTTCAATGACTTCTAAAAACTAACTTTGCTTCAGGAAAACTTCCACACTGTCCTAATTTCTTAAAAATGTAGGCTTTGAGCCCAAACGAAAGTCCTTACATAAAACTAAAACCCTAAATTTCAAAATGTACAACCACTATCATAAATTTTTACAATTCTAAAAAACAAAAGGCTGGACAGTATAGGATTCTGAATCAGCTATAAACAGGAGATGAGAATACGAGAAAAACTTCAGTTCACAGGGTCTATGACGGACACCCTCCTTTCTAATTGCTACAACAACTAAACATGGCAGACACCGGCATGCACCCTGCTGCCTACAGTGTATGAAAGCGTCCCGGGGCAGCGGGCCCTGCTAACTCCCACAGTGAGCCCCACACAGTACTTACCCCTTCTCTTTTTCCTTTTCTCTCCGTCCTCTCCAACCTCTCCTTCTTCCTCATCATCCTCCTCTGATCCACTGATATCAGAGCCTGATATTTCTTCCCCTTGAAAATGTAACACAATGATTTTTAGTCTATACCATGTCATTGCCTATTTAGGAAATGCTTATAGCAATTTTCTTCATTAAGTCTTGGTGGCCACAAATACAAATTTATTTATTTACTTATTTTTGGTCCCTTTTTATGAGACAGGGTTTCAGTATATGGTTCAGGCTGGCCTTGAACTTACTGTGTAGCCCAGGCTGGCCTCAAATTCACAGCGATCCTCTTGCCTCAGCTTGCCAAGTACTGAGATTCTAGGCGTACGCCACCATGCTTGGCTTTAAATGCTACTTAACTGTTCCCCAAAATACATGAATATGCTCATCTGAATATAGTTAAGATATACATGGACACTTTATTTTTCAAGTCTCAAAACAGAAGTTTAAGTCTGACTGAGATAGGAAGACTGCAGAAAGCTCGAGGTCAGCTTGGGCTACACAGTGAGCCCAAGGCCTGCCTCAACTGCACAGTGAGACTCTTTCTCAAAAAGACAAAAAAAAAACAAACCATAAAATTTAAACTCTGACTCAATTAAAATTTCAAGCCAGTACATCAGAGCAGCTATAACTATACATAAAGATAATGCCTTAGGGTAATGAATTCAATCTTTTATAAATGTGATCACTTAAGAGCATTTTATTATTTTTCTCTTTCAGACTTTAAATAATTCATTGAACCAGTATTGTTTAATGAGTCATAAAACTGTCACCTAACACAGTGGTGTTCTTAGGACTATATCAAAAGAAATATCAGCATTGTTCCTATAAATGCAGACACAGAGAGCACACCTTGAGCACACAGATCATTAACAACACTTTCTTCTGCTGAGAGACAGTGGCAGCAACGAGCAGGCACACCTAGCACCGAGCCTTGGTCTCTAAACACAGTCTCCTGGGAAGGACCTGAGAACCTTGGGAGCTTAAAACATCTTCCAGCACCAGAAAGAAAAGAATGCCTACAAATAACCTGATGGGAGCTGGAAGGAACGGGAACCACCTGGAGAAGCCCCCGACGGCCCACACGGGGACAATTTAAGCAACAAAATAAATAACATGAGGACTGGGTTATCATCTATGGCTAAACACTTAGTTGATGAAATCAATAAACGGAGGAGAAAAGACCCTTCCTTCCTTAAAACAGAATTCCCAACACTATGCACCGAAGCAATGTCAGGAACAGGAAAGCTGCTACACAGCAGGGCCCAGAATTGCTGTGCCAGGCCAGAGCCACCGGCAGAAGCTGACCCACAGGCCAAATGTGACCAGAAACCTTCGCCGCCTCAAACTGCTGCCGCACAAAGTCACCAATCACAAACCAACCAAAACACAAAACCGACACTGACGGTGGAGAAGCCAAACAACTATGAGAAAACTAGACAAACTCAAATGAAGGAACGTTCTACAAAACACGACCAGGGCTCTTCAGAAGATGGAGTCTTGCAAGACAAAGACGGAAGAGACTAAGAGACGACAACAGAAATAAACCTAATGTGTGACCCTAGATCAGATCCTAGACTTTAAAAAGGAGGGAAACAGGCAAAATGTGAATAAAGTCTGCAGACTGGCTAATAAGTTCAATAACGGAACTGTGGCTATGTAAGATTCTGTCTAGCAGTATCTAGGTGAAGGGTAGATAAAAACTCTGTCCTGTGTAAACTGTCTATAATCCTAAAATAATTTTAAAATAAAAAGGTTATAAAATCATTGTTTTAACGCTTTGGCTGACTTTATTGGTTGTGTGATCGATGCTATGAATGAGATCATGAAAACCAGAGCACAGACTCATACGCCAGCACTGCCCTGTGGCCTAGCAACTTGACTGCCGGGGCATCCCCACTGCCAGAGCGAGCCTGCGGCAGGTGTGCGACACAGCCGCACAGTCCGAGGCAGAAGCCACCCAAACACCCGTGACCAGCGAGCGGAGGACCAGGCCAGGGCTACCACGCGTCCTCCTTCCTCACCGAGGAGGGTGGCCACTTTGGGAGTGGGCAGACAGGGAGGCTGGAGTGCCAGGCTCACAGACAGACAGGGCCGGTTCAGGGACGAGGGGGAGACACAGGAAATCAGCCTCTGACAGGGACAGAGCTGCTGTCCGAGAAGACGAAAAAGCTGTGAGGGTGGAGAGCAGTGACAGCTGGACAACAATGCAGACGTAACTTAGTGCCACCAGACTGTAAACTTTAGGGTGGTAAAACCTCTGAAATGTCATCACATAAAAATACAAACAGCCGGGCATAGTGGTACACATCTGTACTCCCAGTAATTGGGAGAGTGAGGCAGGAGCATCACTACAAGTTCAAGGCCAGCCTGGGCTACAAAAGTGAGTTCTAGATCAATGTGAATTGCATTGTGAAACCTGTCTCAAAAAGATAAAAAAAAAAAAAAGGTGTGTCTGGGGGGCAAAGAATAAATGGCAAAATAAAGGCAGGCATGCACGATCAACATTAAAATACTGGCTCTAAATACCACCTAGTGGTCACACGTAGAATACCAGACTTCATCATCATTGCTTTTCCTCACTAATAACATCAGCACCTCCTCCAACACTTGCGATGGGCTCAGCTCTCTGGACTTCACTTTGATCAGGTTCCAGCTCTCTGCTTCCCTGGGCCTGTCTCCAGCACTGAAGTGCAGCACCCTATAATGCCTGGAAGCTATGCACCCTCATAAATAAGAACCTCAAACTGTCTAACTTTCTAGTATCAACTGGCTAGAAAATAATTTCCAAAAGCCATGTTCAAATTTAAGGGTGAAAGGATATTTTGGATGCAATGCATTTTTACTTAGAATGAGCTACATGTACCCATGAGCACCTGACATCTTTTTCTACGCCAAACAACAGGGAGCTGATGTCAACTGCAAAGCCTGAACTGCAGCCATTTGACCTGAATACACACACGGCTAAATCTGCTTATACAATGACAGACCTGCACTATTTCACAAGTGGTCATAGGAAATCTTCCAAGCAGCACAAGGATAAAGAGGGTCCAATTTAAAAAAAAAAAACACACACACACACAGAAACATTATATAATCTTACTCAAGCCTAATATGAAGAGGCTAAAGCACGTAAGTATCAAGTTGCTTTCCAGAAATGTTCTTTCAAATATGAGTGCCACAGGCTCAAAAGTAGGTAGTTTTTGTTAGGACACTGAGCGGACCAACACATTCTTAGCCCACGTTCAGGTGAGTATTTGTGATGGGTTACCTTCCTCAAGTTTCTTCTTTAGTTCTTCTATCTCCTTCTGAAACTGACGAAGCAGGGCGTCCTTTGGATCTTCATTAATTCTAGCTTTATTCTTAATATTCTTAGCACGGTTGGCATACCGTAATGTACTGATAGTTTCATCATAATTGTAATCTGCTGGCCCAATATTTGCACACTGTGGAATTAGAAATATAAATCATCTTACACTACTACTAATTAGTGCTACCATCACAAACACATCACAAAAGACATTGGAAACACACATACACTTTGGCCTTCTTGAAAAGTGTCAATCATATGGGCTTCAAGGGGCATGACTTTGCTGAAAAAACATGTTTTCTACAAAAAGATAACCACAAATCAAGAAAAGTAGAACTCATTTTTAGTAGGAATTCACTGTTGACTGTTACTCATATCATGGGCATGTGCCAAAACTGCCCTATGCAGGTTAAGGCTCACCATCATGGTTTTTGAGTTTCCGCCTAAAGAATCCTGAAGGAGACGAGTCAGCTTGGAGTTCCGATAGGGCACGTGAGTGCTTTTTCCATCAACCAAGGCTGAAATTACGTTACCAAGTGTGGAAAGTGAAAGATTGATTTTTGTGGCTTCTTTTAGACGCTGTCCTGTAGCTCCAGTTTTTGCTTGTCTTTCTGAGCCCTAGCAATAAATAGACATGAAAGTTAAGCTAAAAACAAAAAAACCCCACATTCTCCCTGAAAGTTTTCTAAGTTTTTTTTTTGTTACGGAAGATTGAACTTACAACCTTGCGCTTGCCAGGCAGGCACTTACACCACTGAGCTAAATCCCCAGCCCTTTTTTTTGGTCTTTTTGATGCAGGGTTTCACTGTGCAGTTCAGGCTAGCCTTGAATTCACTTTTGTAACCCCGGCTGGCCTCGAACTCACAGCAATCCTCCTGCCTCTGCCTCCCAAGTGCTGGGCTTACAGGTATGCACCACCACGCCCGGCCTCTTCCCAAGATTTTTAAAAACGTGATTCAACAGTAACAGGATGACAGGTGGGTGAGAGTAGATGAACCTAGACTGAACAAAGGGGGGTCACTGAACTACTCTACTTCCTTTCACATACACTTAAAATGTCCCACAATGAACAGGAAGTTAAACACACAGAAGCAGCCTCTTAAAAATCCGATGTAAACCGCATTAAGGTCAGTGTCACGCTACTCACAGCCAGGTCCACGAGGTGCAGCTTCCCCATGCGCACGTGCATGTTCCCGTCCACGCCCTTCTCGCTGCACTCGATGGTGATGGTGAAGATGGCGTGCGAGCGTGAGCTGTGCTCATTCATGTTGGTGGCGCCCACAGAGCCTGGCGGAGAGGACACCTTAGAACCCAATGGAAAGTGCCTTGCATGCTAAGCAAGCACCCAGCCAAACTTCATCACGACGGAGGGCAGAGAGCAGCCCAAGCCGTAACAACACTGAGGAGTATTCAGCGATAACACGAATGTTTTCTTATAATCTATGTTAAGAGTGCCTTCACATCAAAGATGCAACTTCAGCACAAAGCAGAGTTTCAATCCCTACACCACTGACCGAGGACAAACTGCAAGGCATTGATCAGGCGAGCTCCTGCCCATCATAGCCCCAGCCCCGTGGAAGGCTGAGGGAGGGGGATCTATTTAGCACCACAGTTCAAGACCAGCCCAAGCAATAAAAAATTAAAAAGAATAATAAAATCACACTCAAACACACACAGTTAAACCACTGCAGACATTATTGCTGATTCTGCTGTCTGGAAAGAGAATTATGTTCTGGGACTTTAAGCCACAGAAATACTCAAAAAACAAGAATATTCAGGGCAGCATTGTTTGCAACAGTGGAAGACCAGAAACAACCAACAAAACAATGGTTAGTCAGGTACAGACTAACCATTTTTAAAAAGGTAAGTCTGTATCACATAACATGAAAAGATGCTTCACAGCATGTGAATTTTTTAAAAAGCCGAGTCAGAGAGGAGCACACTATATAGTATGACTCCATTTTTGTAAAATAAAAATATTCACTTAAAAATACTAACATTTGTGTATGCCATTTACTTGAATAGATTGTGTATGCAATCTCTTGTTTACAACAGACATATATTTAGTTTTTCTTAATCGCTGAAGTACTTTGAAAGCATTAATTTTACCCAACGCCAAAACTATCTTTTTACTGTACATATTCATGCAGAACTCTTTTTTTTTTTTTTTGTCTTTTTTATTGGTTCCAGGGATCGAACTCACGACCACACACTTGCAAGGCAGGCGCTTATGCCGCTGAGCTAAATCCCCAGCCACCCATGCAGAACTTTTCTATGCACGCTTTGATTTCCCAGTTTAGACATTAAAAGCATATTCTTTATTAGCATGCAACTATTAGAAGTCATGGGACTTTAATGTAAGTTGCATTGATAAATTAAAGCCCAACAAAAGAAGGAAAATGAAAACTTAGTGGGCGAACAAAGAAACTGTGTATGGGAGGGGGCAGCATGAATCATCCTGACCTGACCACAAGTGTGCTGAAGTGTCACCTGCATTCCATACTACAACCACTGGGTGTCAATAAAAAACAAAAATGTATCTTTAAAAAACACTTTACCTTGAAAGAAATACGAAGTTTTAGTTCATGATGTACATGCTGTAATATTCAGAGAAATGTATACTGACTTTTTGGAATTTACTTTTTATTGTTTTCTTTACCATGAAGATAGCAACATGTAATGTATTAATTACTGTTACTGCCCTACTAGCTTGTATGGAAACTATGCTTTATTGTCTTTTTTTTTTTTTTTTTTTGGTACGGGGCTCAAACTCATGAACTTGCACTTGCCAGGCAGGTGCTTGTGCCACTGAGTTATATACCCCTGGCCCCACTTTTGGTCTTTTCTTGCTCTCTTTAAGAAAAAAAAAAAAAGGAAAGCAATACGTGAATGGTAGGCTCATAAAGATGCTTACTGTAGAAATGCTGAGCTTGCCTGTATGTTTGAGAAATGTTCATAATGAACATTTTAGTGAAATTAAAGAAAACAGAATAATTAAAGGTCTAAAAATTTCTGAAAGAAAACACAGGGATTTAAGATTCTATACCATATTTTTTTAGTTTCTTTTAAATAAAACGATGACTCTGCTCCCCAGCTACAGAGAGCTCTGAAAGCCGACACCAGCTGACATGGGCTGAGCAGCAGTGACACGCACGGAGTCTCCGCAGACCGTCAGGTCTCATTTTGCCCTCTGGGGTTTTTCCACTGAACATTATCTCGTAGGTGTACAGTATTCTGAACTATTAATTATGTACAAGGATGATTACTTAGGTTGTTTATATCTGAAGATATTTTTCTATTTTTATTGGTTCCAGGGATCGAACTCACGACCACACACTTGCAAGGCAGGCGCTTATGCCGCTGAGCTAAATCCTCAGCCCCAAAGGAACATTTTTTAAACTGTCCACAGATACTATTACCAAAAATGCTATACCCATTTCCACTCCCACCCCAGTATGTTTATCATCAAAGAAAAAAGGAATCTGGGTATCCTTAACTCAATTTGATGGGTGAACTATTTCTCACAGTTTTAATCTGCATTCTCTTGATTACATGTGAAGTTACTATCTTTATTACATATATGCAGCTATACGAGAGTTTCAAAAGTTATTATTATTAAAAAGAAGTAAAAGTTTTGGTCAGCACAGGAAACAATCTGGTGTTACCTTTCATTCATATGTGTGTTCCTACATAGTAAACAGTCAGAGAGAGATTTTCAAAAAAGCTGGAAATCCAGAACCCATGGAACACAGTATAACACCAGCTTTCCCAACATCACATTATTACTATACTTACGATTTTTGTGGCCTAGCGTCATAATTCTATCCATATCATCCGCATTATTTACCACATAAGCTGATAAATCTTTGATATAAACTCCCACATCAGGTCTTTCTTTAACCTAAAAGAAAGAAATACATACATACTTTATATTTACATCAGTAATGCTTCCATAATTAGGCACTGAACGTCTACTATAAGTTCAAAACTCTACAAGACAGTGAGGAGATCAGTAAGAACAAGTCTCTTCACTCATGTGGCAAAAACTGCTAAGATAAAAAGACAAATGGCTACATACACAAATATTTTAGCAGTAATGATGCTATAAAGAAAAAACACAAGACAGTTCGGGAATAAATTACAGACGCTAAGGCAATAAAGCGGGCAAGATAAACTGTTCCAAGATGATGTTTCAACTAAAACTTGAAGAAATAGGAATAGATTGTCTAGTTCAGGGCAGGGAGGATAAGAAAATGGGCAACAATCTTGAAATGGGGAGGAGGGTTAGGCACTTACAAAAAAATAAACAAAAGAGTGTTTTGCTGGAAAAAACAAGCCCAATACTTGGTTGCAGAGGTAGGCAGAGATGAGACTAAGAATAGGCCTCAGCCTTAAAGGTAACAGCAACCTGAAGCCACTGGACAATTTTGGGCAGCAAATGTAACAATCAGAGCTATGGTATTCATGTAAAAAGTCGTCTTTCTAGGAGTTGCTTTTGCCAAATTTGAGGAATGTATTTATGACAGAATTAACTAAAACACAGATACTGTATACACGAAATTCACTTTGGAGGGCCCTAGAAGACACCTACCAAAGGAATAAAGAGAAACTGAGGCAGATGCCTGCGGGGAAAGCCATTCCACAGGGGTCCACAGAGGTCATGAAAACGTGAAGAACAATTCCAGGAGCAGAGGCTACAGACTTGGGCACTCCGAATTGCAGGTGTTCATTCTGGATCTAGTTGGGGACTTCTTGTGTCCCCCCATCCTTTTTTTTTTTTTTTTTTTTGTGCCAGGAATTGAACTCAACCTTGCATTTGCCAAGCAGGCACTTACGCCACTGGGCTAAACCCTGGCCCCTTTTTTGTGTCTTTTCATAACAATTTTTAGGATTTATAAAGTACTAAAAATTATCCTTTTTTTGTCAGGAGCTATAAACGAAACCTAGTTTTATTAGCAGTAAAAAGAGTATGGTTGCGATAAGCCAACGGGCTTCCAACAGTGCTCTGAGATGCGCCCAAGGATCGAGGTGACACTGACGGGGCTACCGTGGGGACCCAGAGGTCTCTAGGTCGAGCCAGCTCCTAGGGAGAGCTACCAATTTGCGTGTGCCACCTCTGCGTCGGGGGTGGGGGGTGGGCTGGTAAAGGTTTAAAAATGATCAGCTTCGGGGCTGGGGATTTAGCTCAGCGGCATAAGCCCCTGCCTTGTAAGCAGGCAGTCGTGAGTTCGATCCCTGGTACCGATAAAAAGGAAAAAGACAAAAAAAAAAAAAAAAAAAAAAAAAAAAGATCAGCTCCTATCAATACTTCTCCAAAGAGAATGGAGGGGACTAAGGTAGAAGACAAGGGGCAAACTGACACACTTTACAGAAATACACAAATCATGCACTTGGTTGCCATAGCAACTAAAAATGGTTACAAAGCTTTTAAGCAACTACTTTCACTTCCTGTGTTCAGCTCCTCACCCCTGGAAACAAACATTCTTCCAACTAACATCTGTCTGTGAATTACTGCTCTTTATCAACTCTGAAGCTTTTTCTAATCATAATATATTAATTCAAAATTCAATTAGTAAGTATAAATGATTAGATATAATATAGGAAGACATAAACCATTCTAAATTTGTAGAGGCAAGAAAGCTGGGTGGTAATGCTACCAGAGAATTTTTACATGGGCTGAGGGTGGTACAGTATGTGCTTAGCATGTACAAAGCCCTGGATTTTAACCACAACACTAAAAACAAGCTTTTATATCATAAAAATTATCGACTTAATTTTTGTAACAAATACAGTTTGTAACACTGAAACAACGTGTCTTTTTTTTTGGTACCAGAAATTGAACTCGGGACCTCGTGCTTGCCATGCTGGTGCTGTGCCACTGAGCTATATCTCTGCCCACCCAATGTGTCTTAATGAAGGTCAGTACCCGCATCCAGAATGGCCTAAAAATCTTGGCGGGTGGTGTGCTGGTCCACTCAAAAAACAGCACTTAGAGGCAAAGACCAAGATAGTAAAGACACTGTTTGCTGGACTACCAGATACCCACATGAGTAGATACCCACTATTCCTAACTATGTGAGTCTAAGACTCAGATCATTATATCTGCTATAGCTTTAAAGACAAGCAGCTTCTCATGCTAGCAGTAATAATGACATAACATACTATGATGACAAAAGAAACCTGAGGGGAGAACTGCACTCTTCTCAGACCTTTGTCAAGGGCTGGCTATTGTTCTAAGACCCCGTCACTGACGGAAACCCCCTCAGGCCCTGCGCCTGCAGCCTCTGCCTGTGGTGACGGCACACGCCGCTGACTATCCTGTCACCAATGCGCCCCACAGTAAGTACAAGCTCCCTTCTCGTCCAGCACAGGGGATGAATCCCGAGAGCACCACGCTACCTCCCAGCCTTTATGTATTTTTAGTCTAAGACAGAATCTCTCCAAAGTGCCCAGGCTGGCCTCAGATGTTCCATCTTCCTGCCTCAGCTTTTCTTTATATTATAGTACAACAGTATATATATTTTTAAAGTTATGTGTGTAAATTTAATCACCAATGAATTTCATGTCAGGATAGTCAAAAGGACATTATAATGTTTTTAAAAAGGGTCACTGGGTCTAACAGGGTTCAGAATCATCATCATGAAGTTCCCCTCCGGACGCTGAGGCAGGAGGATCACTGAGAGTTCAAGGCTAGCCTAGACTACACAATGAGTTCTGAATTACAGAGTGTGATCTTGGCTCCAAAAAACCAAAAAAAGACTGTTTCCCTCAAGAAAATGCTGAGAATAAATCTATGAGTAAAAAAATAAAAATACTCTTTCTAAAGGATTTTTCTCTAAGAATCTGCATAGTAAAACAATTTTTTAGGAGGTAAAGATACAGAATTAACAATGTATCCATCAAAACTGAAAAGGAAAACTAGCAGCAAAAAGTTGCTTCTGCATTGGGTACAGATCTGTAAGAACTGTGCAATAAACCTTCACTACTCAGGAAGTACAGACGATCCCTGACATTCTAACATATCACTCCGCAGTTCCATTCATAGAAACTTCCTTTAAAAAGCTACCATTTACTGATCACCATATCACGTGTAAGGCACTCACTTCAAAACTGTTTAGTTAACACTGGCCACGATCCTATGATGTAGGTACCGTGACTGTTGCTCACAGAAGCTAGTAAGAGGCTAAAAAATCAAGATGGGGCCAGAACCCAGGGTCCGACAGCAAGACCCCAGAAACCTCCCTCTGCTGAAGCCTGGCTGATACTGCTGGTCTCTTGCTGTGTGTGAACAAGCCCCGAGACTGTGGCTCCGTGTCAGGAAGCGCAGCTCGCAGGAGCTCTGGACGAAAGAAAGAATGCAGGTTCCGCGCCCAGGCCGTGGGCTGACCGCACCACCCGACGTGAGGGCTCCGCTTGTCTCGCGGGTCCCGCACATGACTCAGTGGTGGCAATCTCACTCTGTGGCGGAGCCTGTTATTTCTCACTAATTACTTTAGTGATGACACTATGCTAATCAAAACCCAATGCTAACATTACAAAGGCTAATCTTTCCTGGTGGTCAATTATTTTTATTATTACAGGTTCACCCCGAGACACTCACAGCCCAACTCACATTCTTCCTCTCTTCCCACATCAATGTGTTGTCAATGTTGAAACTGGCAATGTCTATCGAATCTGCCAATCATTTACCACTGGACTCAGCAGTCCTGCTCTAGCGGTTATAACAAGTAAAAGGAACAAGGCGATTTAAAATATTAAAAATATCTTTTGTACAAAAAGGAACTTACTTTGGTAAATATTCTATTGAGCAGAAAGCACTCTGATTTCAATAGTCCTTACCTCTAACCTCTGTGTCTGGTCCTTGCCCAAAAGGTCACGAACTTCTTCATTATATATTTCTAAATATGATACTCGAACCAAAAATCTATAAATAAAATATTTTTAGTAGAAAGAAAGCACTAAAATACAAGTTTTTATACAGTAAAATACAAGTTTATAAAATGTATATCTATAGTTTTCTACATTTGCACTTTTCAACATTAAAAAATAATTCTCTTACCTTGTATCACCCTCTGCTTTTGCAATATGACCAAATATGTGAGCGAATGAATTGGGGATAATTCCTCTTAGTTCAGGAACAGCTCGAACACCTTCCATGGTAAAAGTTTTGCCTGTCCCAGTTTGACCATAGGCAAAAATAGTCCCTGAAAATGATGAAGAGAAATGATCACTTTTTAAGAGTTTAATGCTACAAAACAAGTTCTTAAAATCAATTCCTTTGGGGCTGGGGATTTAGCTCAGCGGCATAAGTGCCTGCCTTGCAAGCAGGCAGTTTTGAGTTCGATCCCCGGTACCGGTAAAAAACGAAAAAGACAAAAAAAAAAAAAAAAAAAAATCAATTCCTTTAACACTGTAATATAATTTATTCAATGGATTCAAAATTTAGTCTAAATTTCACCTTTATTATCAAAATATATAACACTACTCTGTGACATAAACGAAGTACTGTTGCTGCATTAGAGTGAGAGATATTCATAGCTATCAGTAAAAAGTCGCATATGCCAAACTCTAAATGCAGAAGCTTGCCATACAGCTCACTACAACATATTTCTTGTAATGTACATATGCACTGCTTATTATAGACTTTAAATTGCAGCAGTACGGCACATGAATGCAGGCCCTAACGTTGAAAGACCTAACTGCCACTTTTTGGCCACTAGACCTCTAACAAGTTATCTACACAGCACAGGGGCAACTGTTCAGAATGGCAACTTCACAGCCATAGCAAGAACCAAGTGAGACAATTTACTTCAAGCCATCAGCACCCCACCGGCAGGGAGTACCTGGAAATGACAGCTCCTTCCTTCCCTAAAGTAAACTCATTTAAAAACCATTTTTTAAAGCAATAGTTTCAGAACTAGGAGCCATTAACTAAGAGTGACAATACAATTATTACAAGTAATTGGAGAGACAATTTAAACTTTCTAAATACCTAAACTCATTCATTGGACAAATATTTACCACACATGTGAGTCTGACGCTGTGTGGTACTCCCGGAGGAATAACACAACAGAATCTTTAATTTTAGGATGTGTCTAACCCTGGGAGAGGTGCCCAGAGTGCGAACCAGTTCCAGAGGGGCGAAGGGACATAAATCAGCAGATGGCGGGGCGGGGAGGAAGGGAGAGAGGACAGGAAGACCTCCCTGAAGATGTGAGCTGCTAAACGAGATCTGAAATAGAAGAAAGAATCAGATGGGAGCGGGGAGCAAGAGCCAAGGAGACAACTAATATCTTGAGGAACAGGAGGAGTTCAGAAGGGGAGGGAAGGGGAGGGGAGGGGAGGGGAGGGGAGGAGGCTAGAGAAGAGGGCAGTGCCCTAACCCTAGGGTTACGAGGGCGGCATTAGTGTGGGGCCTCACACTAACTGCAAAGTGAAGCCACGGAATGGGGCAGCGTGATTACCGTGGCTACAGCACAGGGAAGGAAGCAGGCAAGGGCAGCCGTGGGGAAACCAGCCTGCGAGCGAGCTAGCACGGGAGGGCCTGGCCCTGGTGTGAGCCGTGAGCAGAGAGCACTCCTGCGCTAGGAACAGCCCCTCCGGCCAGCACAGCAGGGCAGCACTGGGACTCTTAAAGATGACCAAACCATGAACCATATTTTGGGGTTTTTTTTTTTGTCTTTTTCTTTTTTATCGATATCAGGGATCGAACTCACGACCACACACTTACAAGGCAAGTGCTTATGCCGCTGAGCTAAATCCCCAGCCCCCATGAACCATATTTACACACAGAGATTTGAAAAAGCTGCCAGTTTCCTTCAAACTGCTAAACATTTCAATCTCTGCCACTAGGAATAGAATTTACTACATTCAAAGTAGCTAAAATATTATGAAAACGCACAGAAACACAACGAATTATACAATAAGCTGTCCAATGCCAGCGGCTCCTCTTCACCCGTCACTTACCATGCGCTAGGCCAGGTGCCTTACCTGCATTCGTTCGTATGCCACTTTCACCTGAACCCTGGCAGAGAGGCACATCTACACTTCCATAATTTATTTGCAAAATACAGGAATATGTTGAATAATGTGCTCAGTGGCATAAATGGTAGAGACAAAAACATAAACCACCTAGCTCCAAGCCCGTATTTTTAAAATCAGTTTCAACTGCCAAATAAAATTTTAATTCAAAATTAGTTCCTAATTCAATTTCCATGAGTGTACTAAAGTCATGGAGATTACAATTTTTGTTTTCCTTTTTTTTTTCTGGTCTTTGAGACAGTTTCACTATGCAGTTCAGACTGGCCTTGAACTCATTTTGTAGCCCAGGCTGGCCTCGAACTCACAATGGTCCTCCTGTCTCAACCTCCCAAATACTGGGATTACAGGCGCCCAACATGATTACAATTTTTCAAAAAAGATAATAATCTACAGTTTTAGACCTAAAAACAGCCAACCAGGAATCCCCAACAATGAGAGAATTTCAGAGGACAAGGTATTTTCAGAGATAAGATTTAGAATTTCTGATTTTTAAATGTGAAACTTCATTATTATAATGCTATAGTTTCCTTCAACATGAACTTTTCTTATTATATTATTTTTAGGGCTAGAGATTTAGCTCAGTGGCATAAGTGTCTGCCTGGCAAGTGCAAGGTCCTGAGTTTGATCCCTGGTACCAAAAAAATATATATATACACACACACACACACACACACACACAAACATAACTTTTAAAAATCTAAAATGTTACTTGGGAGACTGATGCAAGAATATCTCAAATGTGAGGCAAAAAAAAAAGTGACTCAAATGTTTTACTGTCTCATTTCCTGGCCATGTACTAAATGGTAAAAGATCTGCACAAAAACCTGCATGGGAATGTTGGTAGCAATTTTACTGATGATTGCCAAAATTTTGAAGAAACCAAGGTACCCAGAGCAGGGGAATGGATAAACTGTGATACAGCCAACAGACTACTCCTCAGTCCTAAAATTAGATGAGCTATCACCCAAGAAAAGAAAGGGGGTAAACTTAAATAGCTATCACTCGGTGGAAGACCCCATCTGAAGCGGGTACACACTGCATGGCTCCAGCTGTGTGTCATTCTGGAACAGGTAAACGATGGGCCAAAAACCCCTCAGCGCTGCAGGCTGAGGGGCCGGCAGGGTATGAGCACAGTGGAAACCGCTGTACTTTGCAGGACACTACTGCACTGGGTAGGTGGTCCTCACATCTGTCCTACCCCACAGACGGACGGCACCGAGAGGAGCCCTACAGTGAACCACAGCTTTGGACAGTGAGGCGTCCGAGCGGGCCTGCGGTTACCCTCTGGAGCAGGAAGAAGGCGCTGAGCCAGGTGTGAGTGTGGGACGGGAATTCACAGGACCCGGCTGCAGAGGTGGTTTGTGAATTTGGCTATAAATGGTTAAATTTCTCTAAAAAGCATATTAACTTTTAAAAATGCTTTTACTTATTCTTGACACAGGGTCTTGCTATCTTGCCCAGGCTGGTCTCAAGAGCCCAGACTCCCAATAGCTGGGCCTAAAGGTACACACCACTGCGACCAAGTGAAACTATTTTTAAATAATAGCAGGATGACGTATTTGCCACTGAGAAACCAAGAAGTCACAGCTAACGCGTATTTCAGTAATGAAGAGTAGGGGCTGGGGATTTAGCTCAGCGGCCTAAGTGCCTGCCTTGCAAGCAGGTAGTCGTGAGTTCGATCCCTGGTACCGATAAAAAGGAAAAACACACACACACACAAAAAAAACAGTAATGAAGAGTAAATGGAATTATATATAATAGCATTGTAATTTTTGTTCTTTTTCATGTTTTTCTATTGTTAGGGACAATGTTCTGTCAGCGTGAGACATTAAAAAATAGGTGCAAACTCTTGATACTCCTATACCACTCTGTAAAGCATGTATTTTTAAAAACAAGTAATTCTTTTAACTCAAAAGTAAACTAGTGACACTTGTTCTTACAACCAAGATGGACGAAAACAGACAAGATTGACCTTCCTGGCCGAAACGGAGATGACAAAAACACATGGGCGAGTTTGCAAGAGTGGGGCACAGTGGCACATGCAGGTAACCGCAGCACTGGAGAGGCTGAGGCAGGAGGATGGCCATGAGTCTGAGGCCAACCTGGGCTCCGCAGTGAGTTCAAGGCAGCCTGGACTACCCAGCGAAGCCCTGTCTGGTGGGTTTGCGGGGAGTCTGCAATACAATGACCACCAGTCAATAAAGGACCATGATTTCTAAAAGTTGGAAAATAGGCGAGGTGGGCCCACTGAACTCCCTTGAGAAGACATTAGGGCCTTGGCCAAGGAGGGGTCCCCAAGTGGAGGCCAGCAGACTCCCTGAGTTAGGGAGCCGGTGCAGACAGCTGTGCACTGAGACTCAGGGCTCGGACTTGTGAAACCCAGTGCTGGACAGCAGTGAGCTGCACAGAGATCGCCAGTTCTACAGAGTATCCCACCAAGTACCAATGACAAATGACTGAGAGCTGCCAAATGCCAGTGCAGGGAGCAACCACCAAGGAGGACTGGGAGGACAGGGGCGTAGTGTCTAGGCAGGCAGAACCGCATCCACCTCCACCACACTGATGGGAGACCCCATGCTCACGGGATGCGAGGCACAGCCTGCAGAGTCCTCCTCCAGAGTGGAACAGTTAAATCTGCACTGCATACGCTCTGGAATTCACTAACCAAGCTTTAAAAAAATAAAAATATGAATAAGACAGCCAGGGATATAGCTCAATGGCCTAGTACCTTCCTGGCAAGCACAAGGTCTTGAGATCGATTCCCGCTACCAAAAGAAAACCAACCAAGATATGAGCCATAATAAAGAAACCAACCAATCCATTAAAACTAAGTCAGAACTGACACAGATGTTAGAATTAGCAGACTTAACATTAAGATAATTATGACCACTATACTCACATTAAAAATTTAAGAAACATGAATAGAAGATATAAGAATCTAAATAAATCTTCTAGAGATATAATGAAATGAAAGATATGTGGACAGTGTTAGTGGCAGATTAGACACTGGACAGAAACCACCATAAACTAGAAAATATACCAGGAGAAACAATCCAGAGAGCAGACAGAAAGCGGAACAGAGCATCGGTGGCAACTTCCAAGCAGGCCAATTTCAAGCATTCCTATCTTTGCAGTTTCCAAAAAGGTACAGAGTGGGAAGACA